TTATGCAACTTCAGCCTCTGAGGTCTTTCAACCAGAGAGGGTCCATTATTATCCATCAACATAGGGAAGTGATCACTACCACTACCACTCATCATGTAAAATCCTTAAACAGGTCTGGAGAGCAAATGGTGAGATCGAGAGAAGAAAAATAACCTGGGCTATATTAAATGAAATCACAATAATATATTAATATACAAAAATAAAAACAAATATCACAGTAGTAAACATAGTTAAAATTAAATAACCAATATTTTATGTATATGATCAATATTTAACGGGGCAATCTGGAAGATTAGATGAGCTGGCAGTTCGCACTATAATAGTTGAAAACTTAATAATGTAAAGGGATTATCTTGAAAATTTCACTCAAATTGCTCCACTTTGAACCTAAATATTAGCTTCGAGTTTTGGCCTAGCCTCGATCATCATTTCTAAAGTCGGTACAATAAAAAAAAGTCTCGATTATCCAATTTTGGATTAAATCATCAATGAGCACTGAGCAGCAAATCGGATTCAAATCCAGTGAAGTTGATAAAGGTCTTTTCATGTTAATAAATGTCTAATTAATAGTTTATATAACATTTCAGGCCCAAAGAAAGACCTGCAATCTAAGAAATAACTTATCAGAGACCTGCCCTTCAGTCTGTCCCTTGCCTGCCTGTGGGGGTCTACTTATGATCTACAATCTTTCCTCTAATATACTAGAGGTTACTTGGTAACAATAAACAATACATAGTAATTATATATATTTAAACTTAAGAATATTTTATAGTTGTTAATGGGTAGTATTTAAGTGACATCCATTCATTCATTTACTAAGTTGACTAATGTTTATAGATGGATTATCTCATTACTACTATTGTCTCTAATCTCTATCATAGCTGACCATTGATAACTTACTATAGATAATCCATCTTGGGAGCCAAGTTGTGATGTAAGTCTCGCCCTGTATTGGGTGAATGGCTGTATTAAATACTACCTGGTCATAAATACCCCCTGAAAATTTCAAGTCCCTACGATCCTGGGAACTGGTAGAGGTACGTTACTGAAATAGTACCGGCCATTGGGCAATAAATTCTGAAATGACTGGTTACAGAAGTATTTGGATCTTACATCTATGAGATGCTTGCACTCAATCAAAATGTGCTTTACTGTGTTCACATTCTGGATGAGGCTCACGCTTTACGATGAGTTAAAAAAGTATGACCTATGCGAGAGTATGACCTATAGGAGTTCGGCCAGTCTGCATGATCCCACGACCGATGCTATCGGCCATAAATGAAATGATTTATACAGTTTTTAAAATCTGGGTATGGTGATAAAAACTGGGATATGGGAAGATCTAAAGCTGAATTGGCAGGCAAATCTGCTTGATCAGTTCCTTTTACATCAATGTGATGAACGAGTCATCACAAATAGCTTCCTTTTCTCCTTTATCAAGTTTCAGTTCTATATGAACTCTTTTGATTAGTGATAAATGAAAAATCGTAAATAAAATCCAATGTCTCAAAAATAGGGTCATGTGACAAGCAAACAAGTTATTAAGAGTTCTCAATCTACTCTTCTTATCTGACAGCCGTGAAATGGTCTATTGTTCGAGCTACTATCAACATTATGGTCTATTGTCTGAACATCAAATTAGAATAAAGATATCATCAGTTTGACATCTGATATATGAAAAAATTCAAACAAAACAACCTCATGATACTAAGTATCAGAGTGAAGATGAGTTTATATTCAGTATGGGAAACTACTGGAAGGGGGGATGGGGGAGGGGTGTACACAACATTTGTAGAATATTTTAGAGACGAGGTTCAGCTTGCTAAAAGACTTTTAAAGATCATACACCCAAAATGGTATTATTTTGATTGTCAGTTATTGGGCATAATATTTTTGACAGCTGAACAGAGGAGTGCTGTGGCCCAATGGCCACCATACCCAAATACGCCAAGACATAATCCAATTTAGGCTACTATAGAATAATCTATCAGTATTTGTTCCACATGGGTAACTGAATTCAAGGCTTGAATCTGACCTGATAATTTATACAATGTATACTAGTGTGCAAATGGGTCTTAACAAACACTCTATGACTAATAAAATTAATTATTTACTTCTTTCTTAATCCTTACATACATTAGCCTGCTTATTCTGTTTTTGTTATAATGCATCTAAATATATATATATATTTATAGTACAGACTATCCTCCACCAACCAAATGTTCAGATAAAAGAAAATTCTTGCAAGACAGACATAGAGATTTTGGCAAGGATTGCTAATCTATCTATTCCACTGAACATTTTTTGAACAGTAAAGGTCAAATCTGAACAAGAATAATTTTTCAAGAACGGAATTATTTTGATTAATCTCATTAGGATTATCAATATCATTTGAAAAAAAACCCTGTGAAAGTCACTTTTCATTATATTCGGTCAAATTGGAGTCTGGTGATATTCAGACACCCAAACCTATGCCCCCCACCCCACCCATCCCCAGCCCACAATCAAAAAATGAATGAAATGAAATGGAGTTTAACGTCCTACTGTTCTGCTCCTAAACTGGGCTAATGAAGATGGGCATGCGCCATACAGTGTGCTATGAGGAAAATTTTGCCCGGGCAGCGACGCTACTGCCTTCTCTTATATTGAATTCCAACTGCCAAGGGATCTTTTACGTGCACGCCAATGTGTACACAGGACCTCGGTTTTTTGTCCCATTTGAACGACTAGACAGCTAAAAAGTCGAATACATATGCCTATGACAAAGTATGAGAATTTACTAAAGTGTAGTCAACAAATTTTCTAGGGAATAATGATATCCCACATGGTAAATATATTGCCTTCGATAATTTATAACCACAAAATTTATTTATTGTAAAGCATGGGTGCAATCATACTCCTAGCAGTGTTTCGTTTGATTAGAGCTAATCCCACTTAACACTGCTGTAAAGGAAGCAAATTTCTGCTCCAAATTGGACCAAACATGTTTACAATGTAAATTACATAAAGTTACATCAATTAATCAGTACATAGAAGAATATTGCAGAAAAAACTAATTGCGTGACAAACGAGGCTATCAACACGGATACAATGTAAACAATACTGTTTGGAGACGAACAATACTTTCACCGTTTTTAATACCTTAAATCACTGTCTACAGTTTTAGGGAAGACCCCAGATTAAACGAAGGGCTGTCATGTTGCTGTACTTGGGATAGATTTGATTGAACGGGAAGAATAGACACACTCCCTCAAAAGCTCAAGTATCAGCATCTTCAATTGAAGGCTTGATCTTGCTTTAACATGTAATCTTATCAAGGCCTTCACGTAATACTAATAATCTGCATATTTCGGCACTAATTTCAATTGGGTATAAACTGAGCTTGTGAGCCTATCTGATTCCTCGATCCTGTGAATACCAAGTCTCATACTTATAAGCTAAAATGTCTACCTGTGATAAATGAGTTGCAAAGTTCAAGGTTCGTTCAATGTCAAGGTTTCTGTGGAGTTCGCTTTGTCACAAGCTCTGATTGGACGCCACTGTTCACGTGTCTGTAGCCTAAATAACGTAGCTATAAGTTCGGGAATTATGAAGTAATCTAGCAATGTCAAGATGTTGTCAAACTCACAGTCGTTGATTCAGGAACATGAAGTATCAGAAGCCAATCCAGCAATGGCCAGATAGTGATTTCTCGGGCCATTGCTTCAGGAATATGGGGTGCAATACAATTTCTGTGGGACTATAAAAAATTACACAGAAAATTACCTAGGTATATATATAATATATATATATATAACTATATCTATATCATGATCCACCTATATAATATATTTCTAGGGTGGCCCACGCACCTACAGAAATACAGTCCACCGCTGATAGTTCGAGACTACCACTGAAGCGTGCACATTCGCCGTGTCGAGGCCAACTTTCTGACAGTATGATACTATAAATAGCCATGGCACGTGCAATTCTCTACAAATCTATCAACTATTACAGCCGTAAAAAAATTATTGTTGACGATTTTGAATAGCAGTGAAATTAAGCTTCTTGGTTATTACAGCAGATTTAGAAATTACGTTCGTTTCATTTTTTAAATCGCTTTATCATTAACTGTACCGTTAAGAGCGGCATCTTTTGGTTTAGTACAAATAATATCTCAGAAACACTCGGGTTAGACAGGAACATGATACTAGCAGTAGTTTCATTTTACTTTTACAAGCTTCTTAAAACAATTGTTGAGCTAGCTAACGTGCTCATTTCTAAATTCAATTTCTTGTTCTAGCTTTCTGTTATGTTTCGTAAAAAAGTAGTCTTGATTATCCCGACCTGTCAATCAGCCCTAGAATGGTCGATAGACTGGTTAAGCGAGACTAATTTCAAAACAAGGGCACGTAACCTATATTTTACTCAAAAGTGTCTGGATGTTATGGACGACACATGGAACCAGTTTTCAGTCTATTATTTATAGATGATTAATGGTCATAGCTTATTAAGTACAACATGATCGTTTATTTAGTGACTATAATTGTGTGAAACTGATTTGAGGCTTGGCATATATATAAATATTGTGGCGAAATTGTCGAGATATATGGAGATATCTATTTATGGTGGGTCACCCTAATATTTCCTAATCCTATGTACTGTAGATTTAATGCTGGACATATGTATCTAGTTTATGATCCACTTAGTTCCTATATGAGTATTTCAACTACATGTCGAATAAAACGATAAGATATTCCTATTCTAGTACTAGTACTAGTAGATAAGATATTGGATTCCAAAATAAATAATTCCATTAGTGATGGCAGTGTTGAGCAATAGTGAGAATATGTAAACCTGTTGTATTGGGCTGTACTATGAACTATAATGACTGACTTATAACTAACTGTTCATGCAATGCAGCCTTTCATGCAATTGGCGTATAATGTAGCCGGAACTTGACATACACTATGCAGTATCCATATTTACCATACAACATAGCTGGTTAATACTTTACTTACCCTATGTGTCTTTTTCGCATTGCTATTGTTTCTGTTTTAGTAAGGGCCGCCATCCTGCAAAACCCACTGTTTAAAATGTGTTTTTAATTGGTTGAATTACAACCAAGGTTAAAGAACAGCAGAATAAAACTAAACGTGACCATCAAAAGGAGTGTGATTCCGACCGAGTCCTTCACAGAAAATATCTACTCATGACGTAGTGCACATACACAAAAGACACGTGCTTTGTTACTATATTTAGAACAAACGGCGTTTATCAGCTGGTTTGATAGCAGCTGTCATCGTTGAAGCATGATTTATGCTAATTCGAGTTGATTTACCTGTAAATTGTAACTAAAATGGTGTTTAGCGTCCTACTGTTCTGCCAAAGGTTCATTGTAAGTGTTATACAATCTTGTAAGTTGTAGAGATTACCATTAATTAAACTGAAAATTATACCATATGATGAATTTTAAATAAATACAGGCGTTCGGACGATCTGCAGGGGATATCACCTTAGGTGGAAGTGGACGTAAAACACCAGAAACGAGCGAACGCCACGATCTGCAGGGCAGTGCCAGTCAGTTGTGCGACAGAGAATGAAATAAAATGGAGTTTAACATCCGTCTGGGCCAACGAAGACGTGCATATGCCATATGGTGTACCATAGGGAAATTTTGCCCGACAGCGGCACATATATGGCTTACTATATTATTGAATCCCAACTGTCAAGGGATCTTTTACGTGCACACCAATGTGTACACGGGACCATCCAAACGACTAGACAGCTGTCCTTGTCAGGCCCTCCGTCCTGCATCACTGATAAGGGTGAACCACGCCGAAAAATCTGGATTAACTTTCTCAGCCAATGCAGGGATCGAACACTCGACCTCCAAGCTAGGGAGCCAGCATCTTACCCACCGAGAAAGTAGCCTATAAAGACAAATATAGCCTATACCAGTCATCTACTAGGCTACATCAGGCTTACACCTCCTTTAAAGTCCATAGGTCTTGGTCCACAAATCTGTAACTAATTTTGATATCATAGTCATTTGTGCAAGAAATTCCATTGAGATGTTTAAGTAATTCATTAGTCGAGACCTTCACATATTTCTGATAGGCCCATTGATTTTGTAAGCCTTCAACAAAATGGTTGCAGGCAACAGGGGGTTAGCGAGAGAGAGAGAGAAATGGGGCTTAACTAGGTCATTTTGGGACTATGGTTTAATTTTATTTCAATAATTCGCTTGCGGGTAGGGGTCTTTAGCAGTGGGAGGACCCAGAGAAAACCCACGAGGTTGGACAGGCGACCCTACTCCTTGTCACGTACAACCGGGGATTCGAAACCACGCCAGTTGACTCAATGACAGACTTTATGATATATTACTTTTGAACATATCTAAATTTTACATAATGCATCTTTATCCAGAACTAGTATAATCAAAATGGCCAAGATCTACAGTAGTTCATAAAAATGGAAATGGAATGGGGTTTAACGTCCTACTTTCTGTACCGACTGGGCAAAAAAAAAATGGGCATACCCATTGCTCTTGCTATGAGGGAAATTTTCATGCATTCTATGACATGCACACCAATGTGAACACAGGACCTGTTTTTTTTCCTATCCAAACTACTAGACAGCTGTCCTTATCAGGTCCTGCTCTACTTACAAGGGGAAATCACACAGGAAAATCCTGAGGAACTTTTTCGGCCAACAACGAGAGCAAACCACAGACCGGCAGTTTATGAGAAGATCAATTCTGTGGATTTCATTTTGTCCCATTTTGAAGATTTATTAATTATTATCATACAGACTATTCTGTTTCCTGGAACCTCATGTTCAAAGGTATGCAAAGAGTTTTGAACATAATACATACATTCGTTGCATGTTCTATTAAAAAAAAAAAAAAACATTGAAAAAGTTATGTTGAATAAATTTATTAAGAGAAAATCTTGGAAAATTTAATATATTTGATTTGTATATAATATGAAAATATAAAAACATATAAACGGGAATATAACAGTTTCTTTAAATTTATTCTATTAATAACTTTTGTCATGGACATCACAATATTGAACTTTGAAAAAGTTATTTTGAATAAATTTATTTAGAGAAAATCTTGGAAAATTTAATATATTTGATTTGTATATAATAATATGAAAATATAAAAACATAAACGGGAATATAACATTTTCTTTAAATTTATTAATAACTTTTGTCATGGACATCACAATATTGAACTTTGAAAAAACTCTGATAAGTAGAAAAAAAATACTATATTATAATAATATAACTCTTTATAACCCTTATTTCTATTGTAAATAAACATCATGAAAAATAAATTAATCTTATGTGGAATGTACATAATTCATGATCATAAAAATAGGGAATATCCATAAAATTTGAAAATCTATCAACTACAATACATATCTTATCAACATCAACTTTGATAATCTATTAACTATAAATTCAAAAACTTCAAAAACATTATTCAAATTTGTAAAAATGTTATATACATAAAAAGAAAATTTGTGTGTAAATATGATATAAAAAAGAAAGCTATGTGAGCAATCTTACAATATATGTTATTATGCAGATAAAGAATAATAGATGAAGTCTACAATGTAGTCTTAGATCCAGTAAGTCCAGTTGATTGCTCAGCAGGCTCTGGCCTGAAAAAGAGAGATATTTTTTTTTAAGGTTTGTCTTTACAGTTTATATATGTACAAACATTACCAATTGGGTTAGCAAAATAGAAGTTTCTAATGCATATGTCAATATGTATAAAAGCCAACCTTTCCCATATAATACCTATTCAACTGTTCAGTGAACTACTGCTAAATTAAAAGAACAGGAAACATAATTCAAATTATTTTAAGTCTGAAATTTTACAGACTCCCAACTTTTAATTCTTTAACACTGTTTATTAGAAATATCTTTCATCCAGAAACACAAAAATTTCAACAGAGTTTCTTATTGATGTATATGATACATAAAAACAACGGCTATATTTTAGTTAAAATAGGGTGAACAATTTTGAGTAATTAAATGTCATCTATCAGTACGGTTAACTATATAAGGTGTATATGGATATAACTACTTTCCTGTTATTTAATAACAATGTTTCATAACACATACAGGTCACTTTTCTTATATAACTACTTCTCTGTTATTTAATAACGACATTTCGTAACATATACAGGTCACATTTTCAAATTAATGAACTCATTAACTTGAAAACGTGACCTAACTCATTAACTTGAAAACATGACCTGTATTAAATAACAGAGAAGTAGTTATACAGTTATATCCATATATACGTCCCTATGTTGTGTTTTGTTGTGAACACCACCTTTTTACTCAATAAGTTCAGTTAGGCCAAGTCAATTTTAAAGTTAGTTGTGTGACCCATGCTTTGTTTATAATTTCAGTACTTAAAGTTATTGAAATATGAGCTTTTGAATTAAATTTTGTAAAGCTAAATTTTAATAGGTTTTCTCAAAGTTCAAATTTTTGTTACTTTGTGTAATCTTCTTTTCTTTTAACTATATTAATTCCATGTCTACAATTTGTAAATTACCTGAAAGCAGCCATTGGCTGGATTCAGTGTATAAATTAAAAATTATTAAAATTGTTAGTATAACCAGCGGCTGCCAGGCAGGATATGCCCGCATTTTGCAAGAGATGGATATAGAGAACAAGCTAAAAACAAAAGCTATTTTTTGTACAATCAGGGGCCATAATCCAGAAAGTTATGGTCTGAAATGCACAAATATCAAAAGGGACTGAGATCTTTGGGATATAAAGATACAATCAGGGGCCATAATTCAGGAAGTTACGATCCAATATGCTCGAATATCGAAAGGAACCAAGAATGTCCACAAGCTAAAAACGTGATTTTTCATACAATCAGGGGCCATAATCATCCAATATCGAAAGGAACCGAGATCTTTGGGAGATAGACCTATATTTCAAGTTTTCTCAAAATCGGATAAGTTGTGACCTGTAGAGTGTACACAAACAAATTGTGGACAGGCGGACAGGGGCGCCGGCATAATACGTCCACATGAAAATGTGGGCATATAAAAAATAATTTAATAGCCTTATTGAACTTAAGGTTGTAATTAAAAGTTAGGACAGTGGTTGTACCAAAACAAGTGAAAAGGTGCCAGGATGCTGCTTGTGATCAAGTGCAAATGATACTTCTATATTCTGGAATAATTTACTTACAGGGAATATTACTTACGGTGAATATACAGGATTAGAAACTGATTCTCTCTCGTGAAGAGGTGGTGGTGGCATTGGTCGAGGTTCAGCACTATCAAAATTCATATTTATCTCTCCTAATTCCTGAACATTTTCATCTGGAGGCAAGAAAAGGCTGAGACTTTGAGATTCATAATCTCGAACAAAACTGGGTTGATCACGGAAATCTGGTCTAGACATACTGGCATGGTACAGCTTATAACGTTGGATGTAATCAACATATCTGCAATAATATCATTATATATCACATCAATAACAACATTATATATAAATTTGATCTGTTAGTGGTTTACCAATAACAGAATATAGAAATGAAATAGAGCTTAACATCCTGCTTTTCTCTACTGACTGGGCTAATGTAGACATACAGTGGGCTATAAGGGAAATTTTCTTCAGACAGCGACACTACAGCCTATTCTTATTTCGAATTTGATCATAATGTCTTTCATTGAGTCAAGTGGCTTGGTTTCGATTCACAGATGCACAGATGAGACAAGAAGTAGGGGCACTTATCCAGGTTGTCTGGTCCCCCTCCCCAGGTTAGATTAGTCCATAAATGATCTAGTTTGTGTTGGTGGGGTGCCCCACCATAAATAAATATTTCCAAATATCTCAACAATTACACATACCACAATATCTATATATACACCAAGCCTTTAATCAGTTTCAAACATTTATAGTCACTAAATAAACGGTCATGTTGTACTTAATAAGCTATGACCATTTAATCATCCATAAATAATACACTGAAAGATGGTTCCAAGTGTCGGCCATAACATCTGAGCACATGTGAGTAAAAAATAGGTTACGTGTATGTGCCCTTGTTTTGAAAGTAGTCTTGCTTAACCAGTCTACCAACCATTCTACGTTTGATTGACAGGCCAGGATAATCAAGACTACTTTTTTACGAAACATAACAGAAAGCTGGAACAAGAAATGTTGGGCAACTCAACAATTGTTTTAAGAACCTTGTAAAAGTAAAATGAAACTACTGCTAGTATCATGTTCTTGCCCAACGCAAGTATTTCAGAGATATTATTTGTACTAAACCAAAAGATGCTGCTCCTAATGGTACAGTTAATGATAAAGGAATTTAAAAATTAAAACGATCGATCGTAATTTCTAAAGCTGCTGTAATAACCAATAAGCTAAATATAACTCCTATTCAGAATCTCAACAATATATTTTTTACGGCTGTAATAGTTGATAGATATGTAGAGAATTGCATGTGCGATGGCTATTTATAGTATTATAGACTCTACCGCTGAGTATTATCATAGTGCGTAGTAAGCGAGAAATCACTGCAAATCAATAAAAACCAAAACTCACTTTCTCCATTTGTGGTTAACGACTATCAAGGCAACGATGGTTAATACAATAATTAATCCGGCAATGGCTACCAAAGCTGACCAGGGATTATCTTGCCACCAAACAAAAGACTTCTGTTTTTGGGTTAAAGCTGTTTGTCCAACAAATTTATCAGAGTAACCAGTCAAAATAGATCTGTCAATAGGTTTCTTAATGACATCAATTTCTAAATCTGACATTTGTTTGAGTTGATTCAAAATGTTGTTTGAAGCAGCTGAATTTGGATTTGTGACCCTGAAATAATAAAAATATAGATGATTTACCATATTAAACCAAAAACTAAGTTATAAAATATAAATATGATTCCGGATGTTATTTTCCCGAAAGGGACATAATTCGGTTTTTATCAGATTGTGCTAATTGGTTCAGTATATATTGAGATAAATACATTTTTGGACGAGGAACTCAACCCCAACGCTCTTTGAAAAAGTCTAAGGCTCTGTCAATTTAATTACGATTGACTGTAAATTTAACATTCTTGTTCCTTAGACAATTGCACATCGATCAATGGACAGACAAATGGCTATTTTAGCCATTAATAATAAGTTTATCATTTTGATTCTTTAATATTGAATGTTTTTCTTGGTTTTATCCACAGAAATAGATTATAGATATGTATACAAACTTACAGGTTAAGTTCTGTATTTTCAACCAGCATATAATTAGCCGTATTAGCAGCTACAAATACAATGTCAGTACTGGAAAAAGAATAATGGAAAAGTAAATAAAACTCCTTCAGTTAGAAGACAATTGATGGAATAAACAAACAAAATTCCTATTCAGTGGAAGAGTTTCTGTCAAGTTCCATAAACAATCTTATGTTGTTCTGCTAGACATAGTTTCTGGGTTTCTAGGAAGAGCTAAAAACAATCTTATGTTGTTCTAGATCTGCTGGACTTTGTTTCTGGGTTTCTGGGTTTCTGGGAAGTGTTTATAACAATCTTAGGCATTGTTCTGCTAGACAGAGTTTTGGGGTTTATAGGAAGTGCTGCCAGAGCAAGTTTGTGGGAAGTGCTAAATACATCGTTCTGGTAGACAGAATTTCTGGGTTTCTTGCAAGTGCTAAAAACAATCTCATGTATTGTTCTGCTAGACACTCAGCTTATTTTTAAACCAAATCATTGACTTTTCATATTCCATAAACATAATCATTGTAGAAATGTAGCTCCAATTAAAAACACAGTAATTGTTTTCCATAGAACTGTTGTTATTATTCTAAGTTCTCCATCTAATTTTTCCTCAATGCAATATCAATTATTACCCACCTATCATAATCTATATCCAACATATTACTAGAAGTAAGATATTGTCGAGATCGTATTTTTTGGATGATAATGAAGTGATTGGTGATGCTCTGTAGCATATTTTTAATATTATCTTTCTCTGGCATTATTTCATTGGTTGTTTTATCTTTAATAGTCAGGATAAAAATATTCTTGGCTTCAACTAAATCCACCTGAAATATATTTTTATATAATTATAAAACATCTATAACATCACTGATCATACACAGAATCATAGTTTAAAAATAGATAACGAATGAATGAATATATTGAAAATTTAAGTGAAATTACTTTATTTCTGAGTGAATTACCACTATTGGGTTTCAGACTGGATAAAATTTGTATGACTTTTAATCCAAATAAGACTGTTAACATATAAGAATAGAAAGCTGTGTATAACTGTATTCTCCCAGAGTGACGTCATGCATTTTAAGAATATTTTGGCTTGGCTGGCATTGTCTAATGCACTCAATATCCTAGCCATCTGAGTTGATTATGGTGTTTTCATGTGAATACATGTCTAAATAATAAGTATATATACATTTGAAGCCAGTAAACATCCTGCAATGGGTAGATTAAGCTCTTGCTTAAGGCATCTTTTGTATAAGAAAACTGAATATTACAGAATACCATACAATTACGGTAACTAGATATTATAACTTATTATTATTAAACTCAAACCATATAGGTTTTTTATTAAAATCATTCTAAATGTACGTACCACAACAAGAGCACTATCAGATTTAGCTAAAGAAGTATTGGTAGGTTGATCGGTAGCAGTAAGGGTGAACATGTATTGTCTGTTGTCTGGAGCAGATGAAAAGTCACGAGTTGTCATCATTACCCCTGTGATAGGATTCACATGGAATGGGATTTCCGTTAATGGCGTTATTCTTTCAGACATGGAATATCTGACTTGACCATTTGGACCAGAATCATTATCAACAGCCTGACATAATAAAAAAAAATAAGATGGAAAATATTCACTAAGAAGACAACATTGATTTTAGGGTACTCTCATAGATAAATATGACATAACACCAATGAAACCCAATAGATATTATCGTTCCAATTTAATTTTGATAAATGTACATGTAAAAATATTCCTCAATACTCTGAACTTTATTATTTAAAGCAAAAGGTTTGCTGTAACCAAGAACATATCATCTTCAATAGAAGACTTGATCTCGCTTTAACTACATACATCTTATCAAGGGCTTCACGTAATACCCTGCACATTTTGGCGCTAATTTCGAATAGGTACAAGCCCAGCTTTTGAGCCTATCAGATTCCTTGATCAGCGCGAATACCAAGTCTCGCGCTTTCAAGATAAATTGTCTACCTCTGATAATCGAGTTGCAAAGTTCAAGGTTCGTTTGAGGTCGCTATGTCACAACCTCTGATTGGACGCTACTGTTCACATGTCTGTAGACAACATAGCTATAAGTTCGGGAATTGTGAAGTAATCTAGCAACGTCCAGATGTTGTCATCAAACAAGCAGTCGTTGTTTCAGGGACATTAGAACATATTTAATAGTATACATTGATAATTAAATAAATATTGATATCAATAAAGTATAAATACCTCCATCTTCGATAGTGTCTATATTAAATAATTCAAAATTCCAAAACTTACCAAAAATGTTGCCACGTCAGTTTGTGGTTGTGCTTCATATGGAACAGCAGCTAATAGAACTTTAATATTCAAATTGTTAGGGGTCACAGGATAAACAAACATTGGTGCCTCATCATTCATATCTCTTACATTTATAATAATATTCATGCTCTGCCAGGAGTTGGAGACTTTAAAAAATAAAATATATTCAATACAAATCAAATGAACAAATAAGAATTGAGAGATATTGGTAGGAGGACAAGCAGATGACATCAAAATGTCTGACATTATTATGAATGTACAGGAATAAACTATTGTTTCTACGTCATTATGTTTAAGTAAGAAAGGCCATTCATAAAGTCAACTGAAGAGCCCAGGGGAAGACAATCTAAGTCACTTTTTCAACGAACCCCAGTTAATGGTGCCATCTGGTAGCAAATTGTATAAGCTTTCTGTGGAACAATCAATTTCAGGTAAAACGATCGGAGTCACATCGAACCAAGGCGCTTCTAAAATGGCCTCCTGGACAAATACATCCATTGCACCCTTTATTTAACCTTAATTTGGCTGAAAAGTGGAAGTCAGTTGTTGTACTGGTAATTATGATTCGTATTAAACATCATTTTGAAGTTGTAATTAAACCCACTCGTTGTTCTGTTTGTGTCAAGCATTCTCGTCCAAAAGTCTTTTTTTGCCTTTTATGCGAAAAGACAAAAATGTGACTTGGATCGTTCTTCCCCTGGACTCTTCAATTATTTGTCTTATTTGTGAGGGATTGCTTCAATAAAAATTTCTTCAGTGAGAGTTAAAGTGATCATTTGCTTCATGTGAGAGGGCTGAAGCATGTGCTTATGGCACCGTATTTAGCTAGATATTTCATACTCTTGGACAGGAAAATGGCGGTAAAACAACAATCGGTAATGATGAGTGATTTGCATAGGGTGCAGCATAGACCATTGGAATTTTCTTTAAAAATACTGAAGGGAATCAAAAGCACTTTTGGATTGGTATTCCTATTAGAGATTAAATATAATATGGATTTATTTACTTACCCACATTGATCTGTCTTTTACGTCTGCCCGTTGTATCTTTAAATCTGACACTAACAGAGATATTATAGCTATCAACCGTTTCTCTATCTAATGGTCTAAGTAATACCACTTCACAGTCTTTCTGATCGGCTGTAGGACGAACCAGGAAGGGATTATTAGGTATGACTGTATCTAATCGACATTCTACTTCACGATTTAGATTATTCACCACATTTAATACAGCAATAACTTTACCCTCCACCGGAACTGCTACATCAGCTTCATCCAGGTTTATACTGTAAAATAAACAAAATGGTAAAACTTGATCTGCTGCTTGTGACATCACCATAGGTGAAAGCGGGATGTAAAGCTTGGATGCAAAATGGGGAGAGACCAAGAATTTAACATCTATTCAACACAAACTAGGTCATCTTGGGACTAACATGTGGTTCAATTTAATTTCAATAATTCCCTGCATGTTGGGGTCTTTAGCTATTGGAGGAAACTGGAGGACCTGGAGAAACACCACAAGGTTGGAGACAACCGTACTCCTTGTCATGCACAAGTGGGGAATCGAAACCACTCCACTTGACTTAATGACAGACCATGTTATCTAACGCACATGTATTAAACCATTTGACCATCCAACCCTCCTGGAAGGGATATAATGTTTAACTAAACAAACAATTTACATTAAAATCTTTTGTTTATTAAAATAACACAGTATTATGAGAACTAAATAGATTTTTATTGAATGTCTTATTTCTCATTACTTTACCATAGGAGGCAAATTTTATAATAATATTGGTAATTCCAATTAAAAATATGTTTTGAGTGTGTATCCAGTTAAACTTGGGGCAAAATATCTATTAATTGAAAAGAAATAATGATCTAATTATAAATAGAGAGAGTGAGAGAGGGAGAAATGGGTTTTAACAACCACTTGACACAAACTAGTTCATTTCGGAACTAATCCATGGTAAAATTTATTGCAATAATTTTCTTGCTCATAGGGGTTATTAGCAATGGGAAAAAAAACATAGAACTGGAAGAAAACCCATGAGGTTAGTCAGGTGGCCCTACCTGTGAGCGAAACCTTGCTACTCGATTCAATGGCAGATCTTATGAACTAAAGTGTACACGTAAGACCATTCGGTAATCCACCTCAGTCACCACTATTTAAACAGACTGATTCATAAAACATGTCATTTTTACATTATACTTACACTCGTAATGGTTGAACAAATCCAAGTGTATTATTTACTATTGGTATTTGTGTTATATTAATATAGACTGGTGCTCTACTGCTTAATGGATTCCAACTCTGATCAATAGCTATGATGTAGAACTAGAAAATATAGAAGAATACATAATTAAAGCGTGTATAGCTCTAATATTTGGAACCTTAAAATAGAAGAAAATGGGTCTAAAAAAAAGCACATATTTATGTAATATGAATTTATTGTAATTTGTAATTTCTAATCAATTTATGTTCGGTGAAATACATGAACAGTCCAAATTGAACGACAGTCCTTTACGCCTGCTTATTCCATTTTATACATTTTTTATTATTATTGTGTCGTTTGTAAATCAGCCATTACTAATTACTTCCACATTCATCTTGTAGGATATGTATTTCTTTCTTTATTGCAAATGGCACCTTAAACCAAAGAATACAGGGCCCTTATTCACGAAAACTTAAACTAAGTTACAACCGAAATTTTAAGAAATACTGCAACTTCATTGGATATATGCAAATTGATTTAACTGGTCAGCCAATCGAATTGCATATTTCTTAAAATTTCGATTGTATCTTAGTTTAAGTTTTCGTAAATAAGGGCCCCGGACTGATTCTGTCTTAAATATTGGATATCCGGATCCCATATTTTCATGGCAAGATAACAACATCAATATTGATTGAAATAGACCAATATTGAATTCAATTTGTGTTTCCAATTTCGAATCTTATGAAAAATACTGAGTTAGAGGTTTAGCTCCTTTAAGACGATTATGTTGTCATGAAGAACTATGTAAATCAAAACTGAAGTGTAACTAAAACTACCCTGGGTGTTTTATACTACTTGTTGTTTCATTTACTCTGAGGGGATGCTCGTTGTGGGTGTAGAATCGTGACGTAATCAAACACAACGGATATATCTCAGTTTTCATGGTTGGTTTTCATACAGTGTAGCCCGAAATCCCCCTTTACACTTGATTGTTACTATTTTGGGGATTAAGAGAATTCAATTCCCGAACATTCAATTGAGTATACCCATACTAACACTTCAGATTTTGTACCACAGCATCCCTCCTGTTCAGCCAATCAACTTCATTTTGAATAATTTCGAATGAGCCTTTTATTGTGGATAAATGTGTAAAACTTCATTGTACTTACGAAAAAGGATCGCTCATCAAACAATAAAAGATTATCTTTCACATACACAAAACCATTTTCATTTACTCCAAAGAATCGTCTGGCTTTTTCATTTTTTACGTCAACCTCATAATCGAAAATAGCATTTGGTGTCTGAAATAAAAATTTTTTAATTAAAAAGTTTGTTTGCAGTAATTAAAATTATTGGAGTATTTAGCAGATGCCAGCTACGGGAGGACCCGGAGAAAACTCACGAGGTGGGACTCCGACAGGCAATATAGCATTAGAATCTTTATGTTTATGAATGAGATGTCATGGGGTTTAACCTACTTTTCTGCTCCTACTGAGCTAATGAAGACGAATATAGATGCCATACAGAATGCTATGAGACAATTTTGCCCTGACAGCAATTAAATTCCAACTTTGACACAGGTTCTTTTATGTGAAAGTGTATGTGTAGAAAGGACCTCGGTTTTGTTTTCATCCCATCCAAACAACTAGTCACCATCCTTATCAGAACAGTATATTAAACAAATATATCTCGTATCTTACATCTTGGTTCAATGGAACTGTTGTATCTGCATCCCTGGCTTCAACTGTGAAAAGAGTTCGTCCAACTTGCCATGTATTATCTATAGAAGCTGTATATTCACTACTAGTAAATCTTGGTCTATTTATGTTACGAATCAGGTGGATATTCATTGTAGCAATATCAGATTTGGGAGGAACTGCACCATCCCTAACTCTCAAGGTCAGCTGTAAAGAAAAAATATAAAAACATGTTTATACCATTACCAATAACTTGTTTCAAGACCATGAACGTCAGCAACACAATCAATATTATAAATGTTTAAAATACGGATGTGACATCATTATTTCAAATAATAAACAGGCAACACGCGCACATTATTAATAATAGATGAAATATTGGACTTGTGTGACAATTTCATTAAAATGCAGGTGTGGGATAGTATCTGTAATTTAATTTGTTTAATGATCACTACTTCATGCAGTATCGATATGTTACTTAATATCTCGCTCTCATCTATTAAACCACACTTAACATAAACTATTATTGTGGGCCATATTATATACCGGAAAACACCAAAAAACACCGAAAAACAACTGGAAAACACCAGAAAACAACCGCAAAACACCAGACAACAACAGGAAAACACCAGAAAACTACCGGAAAACACCATGTTATACTGAATACCGGAAAACACCGGAAAAACACTAAATACTGGAAAACACAATAAATACTGGAAACCACCCTATATAGGTAACCCGGAGAAGGGCTATACTATAAACCGGAAACTAATCCTTATCCTAACCCAGGCACACAGAGGACCAGGCTCCCGGTTACCTATTTAGGGTGCCAGTCTCCGGGTTACCTATTTAGGGTATTTTCTGGTATTTAGTGTGTTTTCTGGTATTTAGTGTTTTTCTGGTGTTTTCCGATATTCAGTATAAAATGGTGTTTTCCGGTATATAGTATTGCCGCTTATTGTTCCATTTAAACTTTCATACTCCATGTAGATATTAACTTTGAAGTATAGAAATGAAATGATTGTTCTGCTCTGATTGAGCGAATTAAGACAGACATGCAGCGTACAGTGTGCTATGAGGGGCATTTAGCCAGATAGCTGCGCTATGGCCTACCTACTCTTATATTGAATTCCAACTGCCAAGGTTTTTTGACGTGTACGGCAATGTGTACATGGGACCTCTATTCCGAAAGACACTGTTAATTGTCAGGCCCATCCGTACTACACCGCTGAAGAGGGACAACTTTCTTGGTCAACACAGGAACCTCAATGTTAGCAAGCCAATGTCTTCAGCGACCGTGACTCGTTTAGAAGCACAGACTAAACAATGTTTTTATTTACACAACAGAACACTGTCTGCTCATTGGATCTTATTAACCAATGAAAACTCTTCATTTTAACATGTTAGCTGTGTGATACTGGTACATGTTATTGTTTTGTTTGTTGATAAAAGTGGAAAAGGGTAATAAAAAGAGATCAATCAGCATTATTCTACAGGTTCTACACACGATGGTAATATACATTTTTTCAAGTTCTGCTATCCCCTGTAACATCTATCTCCTTCAAAAATAACATCCAACTGAGCATTTCATTCATGTTCATAAAGGGGATTATCAAATTCTAGGACAAATAACTTGTTTGAAATAATACAGAAAGGTGAGAAATAGTCCAATATAACAGGCCCCTGTGATGCGATCTAAGACCCTTTTAGTTACATATGGCATGGATATTCTGTGATCTTTGTTTGACCAGTGCAGGAATATCTTTACCACCAGTGTACCAGTGCAGGCCCATCTTTACCACCATTGCAGGCCTATCTATACCACAAGGTTGGAAATCACAAGGTTGGATTATTCTCACTGCTTACCATTAGCAAATCCCATACATTTCGCTTTGGCGCAATATAGACCATAAAAGTCCATTTCATTCATTCATCAGCCAATCAGAATGGGAAATTTGATTCTTAAGGTGTAAATAACTTACGATAAAATCATCTGGTACTCCGTCATGAATTAATGCCTGTGCTACATACACATCGCCTGTTGTTGGACTTATAACAAAATAATTACTGAGAGTAAAGTTTGAAGGTGTATCACTGGTTATTCTTAATATATCATAGGTTAGGTTACCACTTGGAGTCTGTCAAAAAAATAAAAATATTAAAAATGTAAGAGCTAATTCTGTCTATTGCAGGTCTTTTTTCTAGCTTAAAATGTTATACAAATTATTATTTAGATATTTATTCACATGATCAACTCTATAGACCATCAGATGGTTGAGGTATTGAATGGATTAGAATACCAGCAAGCCTAGACCTTGTTGATTACAAGCTTTGGAATTGAAACCAAGCCACTTCATTCAATGACAGATCTCATTTCTCCCTCAAAAGAGTAACTCAAGTTTTAAGCTATCCCAGAATTGAAAGTTACAAACTTTAAGCATAGGACTCAGGAGAGATGTCTCTCAACAGGAATGTTTTATTCTGAGAGCGTAGTATATAAGAATATGGGTATAACTTACATTTGATGGATCAGCATCCACAGCTCTCACTTCTGCTACTCTAGTTAACACATTCAGGTATTCAGAAATGGTTATATTGATAGGATTAACGGTAAATTCGGGCTTATTTGGATTTCTAATGATATTAACAATGACTGTAGTAGTTGCAGTTCTTGGTACAGCTGTTTGGGCAGGAACATCAACAGCTTGTATTAATAGCTGAAAACATAACATGTCAAATACTAAAATATGTAAAAACAAAACTAAAATGAACCATTACAGAATCATATGATTAAACAGAAAACATGTGAAATCATATGTTCCCTTGAGAAGAATTAGGTCATTTATTCGAACAGTAAGATCGTCCTGTTAACCTCAAAGACAGTCCTGTCTAATTTCTGCACAGTATTTGAAAATGGCAAAATGTATTTGAAATTCATATCACTCTTCCCCATCAAATATGGAAATAATTACTACAGCCTCATTTTCTCTAAAAGGAAGATATATCTTCAGCATTTCTAATAATGAAGATGATAGTAGAAAATTACCCTTTTTAAGGAATGAAAGATGGGGTTTAATGTCCACTCAACACAAACTTGTACATTTCGGGACTAAGATATGGAATAATTCACTTGCAAGCAGGGGTCTTTAGCAGTAGAAGTTAACCAAAGGATCTGGAGAAAACCCACAAGATTGGGCAGATGACCCTACTCCTGCTCATAAACAAGCTTGGGATCCAAACAATGCCCCTCAACCACCCAACCACCCCTATGAATGAAAGGAAGAAAGGGAAATGGCTATTTATGTTATTATAAAAGTTACCTGGTATGTAAATGTGCTGTCGTATGTTAATCGCGATCGTACACTCACAATACCAGTATCAGCGTTGATATTAAAATATAATGCTCCGAGACTTGGCAACATTCTGTATTGGACTCGCTCCTGTAACCAAACAATACATTCATCAAATATTTTATTCAATATGAAAATGAACTATTTAATCTTATATCATAAACACATAAATCTTTTGCAGACAGATCTTTTAGTGTAGCCAGACAGAAACTCTGAAATAAAAGAGTGTCCTTTATTGGAAAATTTACAAAATTATCTTTATATGATAATCTACTTACATTATCAGCTTCAGTAGCAGTAACTTGTTCAATGCTTGTGCCGACAGGCCTGTTTTCATCAATGGTGACGTTGTAGTCATTACGTACAAATATGGGTCCATTTCTATTACGATTAACATTGACAGTAACATTTACAGCAGCTGTTTTACTAGGTGATCCATTATCCATAGCCATAACACGTAACTTAAATAATAAATGTTCATAATTAATAGCCATAACATGTAACTTAAATAATAAATGGTTATAGTTAATAGCCATAACATGTAACTTAAATAATAAATGGTTATAGTTAATAGCCATAACACGTAATTTACATAAATAGTCATAGTTAATAGCCATAACATGTAACTTCAAAAATAAATAGGCATACTTAATAGCCAAAGCACCTGACTTTAATAATAAATAGGCATACTTTAATAGCCACATGCAACTTAAATAATAAATGTAAAAAAAAAAGTTTGTATTTCAGACACTGTCACCCCTTCCCCACCCTGGCCTAATTCTTGCCTACCTTGCCTTTTTTATAAATGCAATAGTCTGAGAAACAAACAGTTTTTTTACAGGTGGTCTAAGATGAACTTACGATATATCTGGCTGGTTGTCTGATATCATTTCTTAAAGGTGCAATAACTGATATAACTCCCGATACAGGATTAATATAGAAATATGTAGGTGAGTAGTCTGGTACAGAAGCAGGTCCATTAATACTGTATAACAATTCTCCATTAGCACCCTTTAAAATATATCATTGTTAGTCAGCAATTATACATCAATAACAACAAGGTGTTTTTTTTTAAAAAAAGGGCAAAATTGTTATAAAGAGCTGTCCAAGGAACAAGCATCCCTAGCTTCATGCCATACTTCAGTTGGCTGAGCCTTAGTCTTTTGTCGAAGAGTGTTGCCCCCCAGAACAATGACAAAAGTGCCGGGAGAACATTTTCTGGTGCAAAGAGATAAATTTGTTAATATGTGTGACTATATTTACTCATTTTACTAGCTGTCTCATTTTGCTGCAATGTGCTATCTGTGACATGAAGCTCATGTTCTGAATCCAACCCACGAACCCAGGCATGAAATCCATACACCTCCACCAAATGAGTCAAAAGGGAATTCCCAAAGACCAAATCAGAAGAAGTATATTTAAACTGGAAACACCACAGAATAGAACAATCTGGGCATCCCAAGATATACAACCATTCACACAGCACACCACCTTTTACATAAGCATAGTCAAGGGAATTAACGGACAAATTTTCATACATGCTTGTGATACAGAAATACGAAGTATCTACATCATATTTGTTATTCTGATCTGTTATTTTAGAAGTTCATGTAGGTCAACTTACTGTGTCTGCATCTGTTGCATTAACATCTACCAAACCTACATTAAATCTCTGATCTTCATTAATAGTGATGTCTAAATTACTGTGTAAAAATCTGGGAGCATTTCTATTTCTTATAACAGTGACTCGAACTATAGCAGTAGCTTGTATTGTGTTATCATTAACTCTATATCCTCGTACTCGGATCTAAAAAAAAATAAATAGTAAATATCAATCATATAATATGTACACAGATGGATTAATTATTTAACATTTAATCTAGAAAACTAAATCAAAATATCAACGCTAGATAATCTCCCGACTTCGATTTAATTGGACTAAAAACAGTTAGAATAAGGGAAACATAAAACTGGTGGTGGGCTTGTTTATATAGGGCGAAACATAGATTAGTGGAATTTCTGTTCATCATATCTGTTGCAAAAAAGCATGAAATTGAAGCAATCTGATACTTTCGATGACCTATACTACATGAAGATCTGACCAGTTGTAGTGGAAGATCGCGTCAGGGGTAATACGAGTGGCTTTTGACCCTTTGACATTAGACATTTGATTAACCAATCAGCGTTGATGTTTCTAATGGGTTACCCACAGTTCCGTGAACCTCACACCAAAAACTTGCCATAACAGACTGTTTCATTGGTTAATCCCTCACATCATCTAGAACACGGGTTATATAACCACTCTTTTCACACAAACCATATGAAGAGACTTTAAATTTGCTGTATATCATATCAAGTTTGTGTATACCATTTTAAAGGATCTAAATCGGTAATTTTTGGGACCTAGAAATTGACACAAATGGGTCGCAACGCATATAATAATGTAATATGAATGTATATAAACAGATTTACATTCAATCTTTTCTATTTTTACTGTAATTTCTAATCAGTTATGTTCGGCGAAATATGCCAGAAGTCTCAATTGAATGGCAATCGTTGGCATCTGGTTATTCCAGTCTATACCGATGGTATTTATTGTGCATGCTCTCCGGATAAGAATATAGCGTCAGCATTTGACATGACTTGTGGAATATGTCTAACCGCGTTCTTTGAGTTCCTTGTTCTAAATGGTGCTGAAATGCATTATGGTACATGATTCGTGTACCAATAGTAAAATGTTTATTTTATCTTGAATATTGGATATCAGAAGCCCATCTTTTCCCTGTAAGATTACAAGACCAATGTTGATTTGAAATGACAAATAATTTGTGTTTTCAATGTCGGAGATTTTTGATGATATTGAGTTGGAGACTTAGCTACTTTAAGTATTCATATATAACTCTAAATAAAACATAAGATAAACAATATTTACCACATAGTTGTTTTGGCTTGTTGTTAAGAGTGACTGGCCTAATGTAACTTGAGCTGTTGATCTGTCAACTCGGAAAACAGTTGAAGCATCTCCATCACCAGCTATTTCAAACACCAGAGTTTGCTTTAAAAAATAAAACCCCAAAGAGACATTAATATTTCAATTTTACTAAATACTGAAAGACAAGACAGTTGGCCGCTCTTGCTACAATAGTTAAAAAAATATATTACAGGTGGCGCTGGAATGTTTTGACCATATTCCATTTATATCCTGTGAAATGTGGGCGTATAAAAACGATGATCCGGGATTATAATCCTGGTTTTATTATGTTATATATGGGTATACGTACAGATAATGGGTCTCGTGGTTGTAGCTGAGTTATTTGTGTATTCACTGCATGATCATCGTTAATGGTGACGCTAATGTCGCTAATTTCAAAGTAGGGATTTCCTGCTCGTGTTATTGTGATGACAACTGGTATCTGAGCGCTTCTAGAAGGTGTACCTTTATCACTGGCCGTAGCCGTCAACTGAAATATAACATATCATCATTAATGCCAAAGCAATTCAATTTTTAGTTTAGTTTTAGTTCAATAAATAACCAACTAAGTTCTTGTGTGTGATTTGTTACAAATTTTAAAACTGAAATATTTGGAACAATGTACTTTTTGTTTCAAAATTGATTATAGTTCTTAAGGGTATTGTTGAATAATAAATCGACTTAATTTTTGTTAAAATTTCAAAATGGAATTATTTGGAATTGAAAGCTTTCATACTTTTTGTTTTTAAAATCGTTTTTTTCCTAAAGAAATGGAAGACAGAAGTATTAAAAGATGTTCCTGAAGGACAGAAATTTAAATTTTTATGGCCTAAATATAGGATGGATGGTTGAAGAACTTATAGAGTAGAAAGGATGGTTGAACAATATAGAGACATTAGCAGGCTGGTCGAAAAAGGCTATTTTGAATAGACATTCATCACTGTATCTAGATCTAACAGTAATCCCCTTTGAACAGAAATACAACAGACTAAATAGGTAGATTAACAGCTGGGAGTTAACATATGCCCTCTTCGTCTGAGAAAGGATCATAAAACCTAAATTATTATGTATCGAACTCCAACTTTAATCTACCAAGGTCTGAGGAACTGTCTTTGCCAACTCTGGATCTCTTGCTTAGTGAGCCAGCACTTTTCTCACTGAGCCACCAAGACGCCTAAACTTCAGAGCAATAATGAACTTACTGTATATTCATTTTGTGTAGCGGTAGTTAAAGACACTCTAGCTGAAATGTTACCAGTAGTAGAATCTATTTGGAACAAATTAACACCAACACCACTCAAAGAATACATTATCTGTCCATTTAATGAAGCCTGCCATAAAAACAAAATCAAATATTAAAACTAAAACAATCTGAAAACAGCAGAAAGAGAGAAATGGGATTTAATGCCCACTCGATACAAAGGTCATTTTGGGACAGACATGCGCATACGGGTCTTTAGCAATGGGATGAGCTTTGAGAAAATCCATGAGGTTAGGCATGTGAACCTACTCCCTGTCACAAACAGCCTTGGCATAGAGTCCACACAATTTGACTCAATGACAGACCTTTATGAGCTAAAGCTCATACATTAGACCACTCGGCCACCCAAACCCCTTGAAGGCAGCAAATAAATTTGGACTATGAAAAGTGGAGGACTGGGAGTGGTATATATATATATTAAAAATTTGTTATTAATGCATTTTTTTTTCTTTTGAAACATATCAGTCCATTTCAATTTTGAATACGTTTACGGTACTGTTGCTTTTTTTAAAAAAATGAAAATAAAGAACTGAAAATACATGTCGAAATGTCATGTTTTTAGAATAAAACTAGTGACTGTTTCCCATAAAAAAAAAAAAAAAAATCTTCTGTTATAATGTATCAAAACTCTTTTACTTACAGGAGGATCAGCATCTGAAGCTCGAACTTGTAGGAATCTTTGTAAAACAGGTATACCCTCATTGACATTAACAGTGTATCTTAAGTCATTAAAACTTGGATCGGCTGTATTCTGTAGTACCGTTATTGTTACTGAGGCGGCCTGAGAAGTTTTTCTAGGATAGCCTAAATCTTGAGCAATTACTTGGAACTAAAGAAAAGACAAAATAAAATTAAATCAAATGGGATTTAATATATCCTACTGAAGACGGGGAAGAATAAACAAATACAACTATAATTAACAGGATACCAATAATGGTAATAGAACCATTTCTATTTATCTAGTTTCAAAAGGTAAATGAGGTGAAAACTTTGGAAAAATTCAGATAATGGTTATAGAACTATTTTCAAAATATTCAATAACAACTCTTAATTATCTAGTTTTTAAAGTAAAATAAGGTAAAATCCTTGAATAAAAAATAAAATGGCTAAAAACTAAATGGTGAGGTAGGTGGAAGTAATCTGTGAAATGCCTTCATGAGGATCTAAAAATGCTTGACGGATCAGTGAGTAATCTTGAACAATAAGTAAGGGTTAGGGGGGTCCCTTCCTTATTTGTTGAACTCGAGTAAAATTCGGATATATTTTACCTGGAATGTTCTTCTGTTCAGATTGTCTTCTGTTAGTCTTCTGGAGATGATTATTTCTCCAGTGTTTGGGTGAATCCTGAAGAAGCCATTTGTTGTTGAAGTAGAAGCTATGCTGTACAATATCGAGTTCTCAGGGACCTGTATATAAATCAATACATCGTCATCATTAAAGAAAACTATACAAAAATCATGATCATTCTTGAATGAAACTAAAAGTTTAAAGATGCATTCTAGTTCAAAAAAAGATAATGAAAAATAAAGATAGTGAAAATTTCTGTCAAATTACTTTATTCTGTGCAAAGTTATGAGCTTTTGAATTCAATGTAGATCGTTTATTATTGTAGTTACGGTACATGACAATCGCGACTTAAGTCCTGATTACCGGTACCTAGTTTTATTGTTAAACACTTAAATGGCCGTTACGTTCTAATCTACTTAAAATTAAGGTCATCCGATGGTTTAGAGAGTTGGTTATGGGCTTGTCATGTGAATAAATGTTCAAATGGTAATTTATTTAACATTTAGAAGCTAGAACAAAGACATGAAATAGGCAGATTTAGCTCTTATGTACATCTTTAAAACATGAAATGGGGATTAACGTCCTACTGTTATGTTCCGACTGGGATATTGAAGACAGGGCATTTGGCATACAGTGTGCTAGGAGGGAAATTCTGTCTGTTCAGCAGTGCTATGGCCTAATTTGTATCAAATTTTAACTGCCAAGGGTCTTTTGCGTGCATGACTTAGCACACACTACCTCAGCTTTTCATCCCATCCAAACGACTATACATTGTCCCTTGAAAGGCCCTTCTTCCTACACCACGGGGAACCACGCCGGAAAATCCTAATGAAACTTTCTTGGTCAACACAGTGATTGAACACCGGACCTCCAGTTTAGTAAGATGTCTTACCCACCGAGTCACTGTGGCTCCCTGCATCTTTAAGAGGAATTAGTGATACAGAGATCTTTGCTGGTTTGACTCAGTTCTTGCCCATGAGACTCGGTGAAGCCGAATGCATAAAGTATCTCTTTGGTTTTCTGTAAAACTGTGACAAAGGTCTAAATATTCTTAAAGCTGTATTACTTTTTCTATAATGTAAAACTCTGAGATGACTTACGGTTGTGTCTGCATCTGTAGCTGTGACTTGTAATACACTGTATCCAACTGGTTCATAGTTATAAATAGTATTTGTGTAGGATGTAGGTTCAAATCGTGGGGTAAATAAGTTACGATCTACAGTTATCTGTACAATTACTGTTGAAACTTTGTTTGGTTGGTTAAGATCATAACATGATACTTGAAGCTGTTAAAAAAAGATCACACAAAATTGAAATATCGTTAACTAATATATATCTTCATAATTATAAAGAATACTTTTTTTTAATTTCTCAAAAAGGCAAAATAATGTAACATGTTTCGACATACAAATAATAATACTGAACATGACATCATACATTTCAGCCATAATTAGGAATATTTTTTAAAAATGTCTCAAAAAAGCAAAAATATGCAATAGGTTTCGACATACAGATATCAATACTCAACATGATATCATACACGTCCGCCATATTTTTATTTAATTCGTTAAGATCATTTAGACAAGTATGTTCCTTGACAATAGTTCAAATGTATCTACATCAATCTAAGGCCACACCAATTACATTTTCTGATTTAAAAACCAAAAGTAGATCCATATATTTCAGTTTTGAAATTTTAACAAAACATTGTACATAAGAATTGAGTGAGTTATTTATTGAAAAAGATCCCAAAGAACTAGACATTAAATTGATTTGGCCTAACTATTACTATTAGGATGTTGTAGTTTTTTTACATACATTGTAGATATTGAGTGAGTCTCGCAGGTTTGGTAGTGACTGGATGACTGTGATAGCACCACTGACTTCATTTAATGCAAAGTAAGTCGTACCAGGAGCATAGCCTAATAATGAATAGCGGATATTACTCTGAAAAGAAAGAAAGTCCATATGCATAAAATACTGTGCTACTTGTCCCTTATATTATAACTGATATTTCTAAAATAAATTTGTGAAAACAATTTGATAAGAGTATATATTACAAGTTTATCCGTCAGACATTAAAGAGGTATTAGGGAATGAGAAATTTTTCTCAGAGAACGGTGCTATTGAATAAGAAGATATCAACAAAAAATATAGATCAGATAATCTTTTGACTTCAATGTAAGAAGATACTAATACCAAACATTTCAAATCTAGGATTCTAAACTCATAAGACAAGATAATCTAAACTAATGTGAACACTGACTGAACATACTAGATAATCAAGGATCAAGCATAATTTTGAGGCAAGGGGAAAGTATTTGACTATATCCTGCATTTTAGAAATGAAACGAGGTGTAACGTGTTGCTTTTTGGCGCGGACTGGACTAATGAAGACAAATCCATTGCTTGTTACTTACACCAGGAATATTATTGGTACACAAGACAGACCGTACAGGACCATTTACTTGTTGAGTGACATCAACATTAAATCGATATGGTAAATTCTGGAACACAGGTGCTTGAGTAGTTCGGATATTTATAATCACAGTAGCTGTCGCTGTTTTAGCAATATTAGTGGATCGGGAGTCAACTGCTTCAACGTTAAACTATAAAAAAAAGATAATTTATGTGCATACCATGAAATATTTCTCATCAAAATGTAAATGTGAACAATATAACAAAATCTCTCACACTCTCAAGAAAATAATTTGCTGTGTCATGAAGAGTTTTGAATACTTACAGAATATTGGGTTATTGTATCTGGTAATGATTCTCGTAATCTGATAACACCACTATCAGGGTTTAAGAAGAAGTATTTTTGGTCATCTGTGCCACCCATATGTTTAAAGGTAATCTTATCCTAGAAAGTAAAACAATTCACAATAAGCAAATATTACTCAGAATATGATCTGCTACATAACATAAGAAATGTTTGTAGTTTAAGCCTTTTAAAGAAAATGGAAACTTATTGACCCAATTTTGGGAAGCTGACAATTACTTCTGATGTCCTAATCCTGACCTCTGTTAAGTGTGGTGGATGGATACACCCATTTGAACAGTTAGTTGCTTGCTATTTGCATATCTGAAAACCCAACAGTAAGTTATTATTTGTGGAGGACCCAATAATAGGGCATTATTGTGGAGGACCAAATAATAGGGAATCATTGTGAAGGGACAAATAACACCTAACAATAATGCATTATTGTGGTGGACCCAACAGTAGGTCATTTATTATGGAGGACTTAACAGTAATTCATTATTTGTGGAGGACCCAGCAGTAGGTCATTAATTGTGGAGGATCTGACAGTAGCTCATTATTTGTCGAGGACCCAGCAGTAGGTGATTAATTGTGGAGGATCTGACAGTATAGCTCATTAATTGTGGAGATCCCAACAGTAAGTCATTAATTGTGGAGGACCCAACAGCTGGTCATTAATTGTGGAGGACCCAGCAGTAGGTCATTAATTGTGGAGGATCTGACAGTAGCTCATTATTTGTCGAGGACCCAGCAGTAGGTGATTAATTGTGGAGGATCTGACAGTATAGCTCATTAATTGTGGAGATCCCAACAGTAAGTCATTAATTGTGGAGGACCCAACAGCTGGTCATTATTTGTGGAGGACCTAACAGTAGCTCATTAATTGTGGGGGTCCCAACAGTAAGTCATTAATTGTGGAGGTCCCAACAGTATATGTGGAAGACCCAACAGTAAGTCATTAATTGTGGAGGTCCCAACAGTATATGTGGAAGACCTAACAGTAACTCATTAATTGTGAAGGAGCCAACAGTAAGTCATTAATTGCAGAGAACCCAAAAATAGGTCATTAATTATGGAGGATCCAACAGTAGGATAGTAATTTATGAGAACCCAACAGTAGGGCAGTAATTTATGAGAACCCAACAGTAGGTTATTAATTTGAACTTACATTATCTCTTTCGGTGGCTGTAAGAGCAAGAACCGAATTACCAACAGTAAAATCATTGGATATAGTTCTCTCATATCTTGTTGGCTCAAATACAGGGGCATTGGTATTTCTGTTAACTAGTACCGTTAGATCTTTTTGATCCCGCCGATCTGGATAAGCTGTATCATACACCTGTAATCTTACCTACACAAATATACACATTATATTACTAACAATTATATTAAATATGCTATAGAAGTTCAAAAATGAATATTTTTGAAAATTTCATTCAAATTTCTTTATTCTGAGCAAAGTTATGAGTGTTTGAAGGTTTGACAAGATATAGCGTAGATTATTCATTACTTTATTAAACCTAACCCTAAGCATGATCTAATCTTTATTAGGATTACCTTACATCCAACATTACCCTAACCCTTCTGTAGTTACGAGTGTGTGAAATAGCTTTATTTAAAGTAGCTAAGTCTCTAACCCAATATCATCCAAAGTCTTACATATTGAAAACATGAATTATTTGTCAATTCAAATCAACATTGATGTTGTTATCTACCGGGAAAAGGTAGGCTTCTGATATCTAATATTTAAGACAAAATAAACATTTTACCATTGGTACACGAATCGTGTACCATAGTGCGTTTCATCGTCATTTGTAACAAGTGACCAGAAAGAGCGACGCCATAACTTATCTGGAGAGCCTGCGGAATAGACTGGAATAACCAGACGCTAGAAATTTCTATTCGGTTGAGACTCATGCCGTATTTCACTGAACCTAACTGATTTGAAATTTAAGTCAAAACGGAAACAGTTGAATGTAAATCAATTCATATACAATCAGATTACATTATTATATGCGTTGCGACCCATTTGGGCCAATTTCTAGGCCCCAAATATTAGTTATTTAGCTCCTTTAATATCCACATCGCAGACAACTGTAGATACAAAGAACCTCTTTCTTTTATATATACAAAACTTACTGTATATGAAAGGGAATCACCACTATCCGATAGTAAACTGTTGACAAGAGTAATAACACCATTAACTTCGTTTACACGGAAATAACTACTTGCAGGGAACACTCCAGTTAAAGCATATCTCAATTCACCCTGTAACAAAAACACAATAAATAACGTAACTTTGCCAAAAGTAAAAGTAAAAAAAACCCAGAGCATCGCTAACGCTGCAATATACGTCCACATTCCTGCTTTGATTGATGTGGTACTTTTTAAAATGAAGAGAATGAAATATGAAATGGCTGTAATATGACAAGAGACCCCTGGGAGTCGGGACATGCACTAAAATAAATAGTTGCTATTTTTACAGTATAAGGAATAAATATGCCAAGTTTCAAGATGATTCATTTAGAATTCCAGTCTGTAGACAAAAAAACACAAAAATTGGGCATGGCTCTGCCCCTGGGGGTTGGACATAGACCAATATATATCGATACAATCCTATGCTGGATCATTCCGAATTGGATCCAAATCTGTTAATAATTACAACCTATATATCATTTACAGTCAAACTATCAACAAAAAGTGGGTGTTGCACAACCGAAAGGGTGGGGGGAGTTGGGGGTTGTGCACAAACATCAATAGTTGCCGTCCTTAGGGTATAAGGAATAAGTATACCAAGTTCCAAGATAATCCATTCAGAATTGTGGCCATCGGGCGCTAAAGGCAAAAATTGGGCATGGCTCTGCCTCTGGGGGTCGGGCATGCACCAAAAACAATAGGGATCATCCTTAGGGTATAAGGAATAAGTATGTTAAGTTTCAAGATGATCACTTAAGAATTGTGGCCTGTAGGCGACACACACACCCAGATATCTTATTGTTCAGTTGTAAAGGTGGCTTAATAATAGTGATGGTGGCTACCGCTATAACATAATAATGTTAATAGACATGCTTACCCAGGCACATATGATAACCTAGAATTTGGAGATAGTTCCACCAGAAAATCATTTCATAATTAAAAGCATATTATATTTCGATTAACTTCTTATCATTCCAATTTGAATAATATTTCTGGATGAACATTGGTAAAAAAGATTATTCAATTAATGATACCTGTAGATCAGCATCTCTACCAGAAGCTGTAAATATTGAAGTATTTGTTGCTTGTGTTTCTTCTAATGTTATTGTTCGTGGAATATTAGTAAATTCAGGAGCTGATACATCACGTAAAACAGTTACTTCTACTAATGTGTTAGCAGATTCTTGTCGTACTCCATTGTCTGTGGCTGTAACAGTTATCTAAAATGAAAATGGAAATTTTACGAAATTCATCCTTAGTTAAGTTCCTGCAGTTCCATTCAGTGATATATATATATATAGATATTCAAGTACTTTACTTCAACTAATTACCGCAAGGCGTTGTTGGGTATATCATAATAAAATCTCAGTGTTTGTTAGTGCTGGTGTCAAATAAAATTTTACGCATCGATGCACCTGGAACTAACATTGATACTTTCATTATTACAGTATTTGAAAGGTCACGGAGCAAGAGTGGCTGCTTGCACAGTTCCTACTGTATCCATATAGAAAAGAAAGCAGAGAATCTTACTGTATATAATGTATTTCTTGATGGTGTATCTCTTAAGAACTGTTTAACTGAGATCAAGCATGTATCAGCATCAATAGCGAAGAAATTCATCACATCCTGGTTACCAGACATAGTACATGTAATGCGGTGCTGGAAAAGAAAAGACAACCCAAGATATAAAATAATATGAAAACAGAATATGAAATACATGTAGCTCTATGAATAAGAAATTCATCTCTTTTTTTTAAAAAGTGAACAATAATTAATAAAAAATAAAATATTAAACAATGACATGAATGCAGAATAGGAAATAGCTCAAGGACTAAGAAATTATATATTTTTTTTTTTAAAAGTGAACCGTAAAATTTGGTATTGAATGAAATACTTACGCCATCAGCATCTGTTGCATTTAATCTGATAATGTAGGTTCCAACGGTGACATCCTCTCTAACAGTAACTCTATAGACATTTCTATCAAATACTGGAGCATTGAGATTACGTGCCACTGTAATAAATACTTCTGCTGTTGCTGATAGATAGGATGCTGCAGAATCATAGGCTTTTACTCGTAACTAGAAATAAGAGACAAATTCCAGTCAATTTCTGATATTCCAGTTCGTGCCATGGTTTATTTGTTTGTGTAACATTTGTTCCTTTTCATAAGAGAGAGCAAGACAGAAATGGGGTTTAATGTCCACTCTACACAAACTAGGCCATTTCAAGATTAACATAATATGGTTCAACTTTATTTTCAAAATTTGCTTGTGCACGTGTCTTTAGCAGTGGGAGGAAACCACAAGGTTGGGAATAAAAGCCACAACACGTGACTGAATGACAGACCTTATGATCTAAAGCACACACGTTAACCCATTAGGTCACCCAACACACCGCCTAGAAAAGGCAAATCGCTTTACACAGAATACTGGTGGTCAATCAATTCCCCATTTGCATTACTTTTTTTTTCATATATGAGGTATATATATAGCTATTGATAAGATTGTTCATAAAATGGAACAAGAACGTAAATATACTTGTTTACCCCGCTCTTACTGTTTTCTTTAATTATTAGCAAAGCGTTTCCATTGTTAACTGTAGACTTGTTTTACCATGTATTTTATAATCCATAATAAAAATTAACAGCCATATATTTTGAGGAAAGAAAAAATACTAAGAAGGGTAATTTACACAGATGAAATGTAGATGTTTTGATAAAAAGAGAGAAAATTGGGATTTAACATCCACATGACACAAACCAGGTCATTTCGGGACTAACGTTTGGTTCAATTTTATTTCAATAATTCGCTTGCACGTAATGGTCTTTTGAAGTGGGGATGAACCCGGAGAAAACATGCGAGCTTAGACAGGGGACCCAACAACTTGTCATGTACATCTTGGGATGAAAACCACATGAGTTGACTCAATGACAGACCTTATGATCTAAACAGCATGTTCCCCCTTGCCATCTCCCTTTGATAAAGATAATGAGATTAAAACTTACTGTGTATGTAGAAAGTCGTAGATTGTCGTTACGTAGATCCCGTGTAATAGATACAATACCCGTTGATCTATTTACAGCAAAGAAACTTAATGCTGGATAATCACCTATAGATTCATACACTATATTTCCCTATAATAATAATAATAATCATAAGTACAAAGACATTGATAACAATAATCATAATAAAGATGATGATGATGATGATTACATCATAAAACCATTTGCAGCACAAAAAGATTTAAAAGAACGTAAAAAATAAAAGCGAGAGAAAGAGAAATGGGGTTTAACGTCCACTCAACACAAACTACATCATTTCAGGACGAACAGATGGTTCAATTTTATTTCAATAATTCGCTTGCGCATAGGGGTCTTTAGCAGTGGAAGGGAACCGGAGGACACAGAGAAAACCCATGAGGTTGGACAGGCGCGCCTACTCCTTGCCATGTACAACCTGGGAATCGAAACCACGCAAGTTGACTCAATGGCAGACCTTATGATACAGCACGTGCTAACCATTCTGCCATCCCCCCAAACTAAAAGCTTTACATCATTAATACAATCTCAATGAATAGTACAACAATTGGCTGCCAAGCAATATACACCCATATTTTGCAAGAGATGGATGGGAAAATTGGTATAAAATATGATTTCATTATCTCAACAAATTAAACATAGGTAAATGAAAGGAAATGGATAGGCCTGATAATAATGATTTTAGTTGCACCTGACAATATGTCAGGCACTCAAGAAATAGCCCGTCATTTTGTGCATAACTGTTTCAAAATAATCAATAGAAACACAGCAAAAAGACAAATGACAGACAGCAGGGAGATTTTGTCTGACAAATCCTTATTTTGTATCTGTCAATGTCTGTGACAGGTACCTTATTCCAGACAGCAGTGCTATTACCTACTACTCTTATTTTAATTTCCAAATTGTAAAGGATACTTTTACGTTTATATGGGACCTGTTTTTTTGTCCAGCCAGACACTCTAGTCCTGCACAACTGCACATACATTATCAAACTAATACAAGAGTAATACACTTTACCTGAAGTCCAGTTCGAGTTGCAATCACACTCTGAATAGATGATGTCACTGCGGCATTCTCATTAATATTAGCAAAGTATCTAGCATTCTGCGTAAATACGGGACTCACACCTCCTCTAGTGACCGTAAAAAGCACAGTGACATCTGCTGTTTTGGGTTGTGGGTAACCATTATCAGTCACTGAAACTTGGCACTAATGAAACAAACAGAAGGATAATTGGATCAAATGTACACTATATCTTTCAACTGAACGCATTCAGAAGGACCAACATATTAAAGTCTTTCATCATTTATAAGGTGCACACCTTCTTGAAACAAAAATAATTGATAAATTAACATATGCTTTATATACCATATTTAGAAGGACCAACATGTTAAAATTCTTCATTATGTTTTAGTTAAGGTGTACACCTTCTTGAAATGAAATGAAATGGGGTTTAACATCCTACCATTCTGCCATATGTACGACAATAATACAGTACTATTTGACTATCAGCAAATATTAAGAAAGACCTGAACTCCTCTAAGATATTATGTGTTGGGTTTTAGGAATTCAGGGTTAATCATCCACCCCCCACACCCCCTTAAAGATTTTTGTAGGGCCTACAATCAGTTATTTTATACTTACAGTAAAAGATACATCCGGTGTGTTTAGCAATGAACGAGCTAGATATATACTAGAGGACATTGTTGTCATATAGAAATAATTTCTACATCTAGTATCTCCAGTTAATGAATAAACCAAAACATCCTAAAAAAAACAACAACAAAAAATCATTATAAAATACCCATCAACAAAGTATGTTCATTTTCCTATAATATTTATGTTACACAAAATTAAGTACTTCTTTTGACATAATATTACTTAACCATTTTTTGTCTCCCTATTCAGCATTGGACTGAATTAGTTGTAAAAATAATTTTGATATCTTGTCTTTATACAGAACAACAGAAGAAACAATTTTATAGCCAAGATTTCTAACTTGTTTGGACCTAATAATTCGTTTGCATATAGGAATCGAAACCATGCCACTGAACTCAATGACCAACTTTATGATTTAAACACAAATTTGACCACTCGATCACCCAACCCCTTCTAAAAATTGGAAGCAGACGGTTTATCGGTGGATAGCATAATATATCATACTTACATTATCACCATCAGTGGCTGAGACTGTTATTACAGCAGTGCCAGGATCAGTTCTTTCAGGAATATTTTCAGAGAACTGAGTACCAACAAAACTTGGTCCAAATCGGTTTCTCTCAACGTTAATCGGGACATCTGCTTCAACATACTGATTTGGTGTGAGAGGATCATATGATCGAATACGTAACTGAAAATTCACAAAAAATTACACAGATAATAATTACACAGATAACGAGATGGTACTGAAAGATATGTATATCAACAGAACTGAGAGAGAGAGAGAGAGAGAGAGAGAGAGAGAGAGAGAGAGATGCTTAAGGTCCACAATCGGTGACTAGCATGATACATGATACATATGATCTTTTTAAGTGTAGCAAAAGTACCTGAAAACCAGATAACATTTTTTATATGGCCTAACATGGTAGGAAAACTTACCACATATCGTAATCCTCTATCATTTAAAACCATTTGTCGTACATATATCTCTCCATTATTACGAACACCAAAGAAGGATGAGGCTAATTCAGTACCAACAACTTGGTAAACCATGGGTGACTGCAACACAAACCAACAAAAAAAATTAATGGCATTTAGTAATTGAACTTGAAATATACAGGTTACAATTCTATGGAATACAACTACTTACTGTTTATTATTGAGCGACATTTGAACAAGGATTATCAAGTCTTTTTCAAGCAATAGAGGAGATCGTACTTGAATTGGCATATTCTTAAGCTTTTAACGAATAGTGACGCCCCCAAGAAAAAGAACAAAAAGATGAGCGGCGCTTGGAGAACTGGAGAGAGAGAGAGAGGAATGGGGTTTAACGTCTACTCGACACAAACTAGTTCATTTCGGGACTAACATATGGTTTTAATTTTATTTCAATAATTCGCTTGCGCATAGGGGTCTTTAGCAGTGGGGGGAAACCGGAGGACCCGGAGAAAACCCACGAGGTTGGACAGGCGACCCTACTCCTTGTCACGTACAACCGGGGATTCGAAACCACGCCAGTCGACTCAATGACCGACTTTATGATACAGTGCGCACAAGCTAACCATTCAGCCATCCAACCCCCCTTGGGGAACGGGTCCTGATCCAAAAATAAATTTATAATATATAAAGACGCATGTTTACTTTATCTACTTTAATCTATACATCCTTTGTTGTATTTTTACCTGATATTTTTTAATAATCTATTGTCAAGGTAATCTATTATTCTACGTTTGTTTTGTATAAAATTGTTTGGCTAATGTTTAATTATTTATATAAATTGAACTAATATATAATTATAACATCTGAAGAGCTCAATTAAGAGCAGCCAGCTAGCTTACGATTTGATGTATATCAGAATGAAGAAGTAATAAAGTAAAGTAAAGTATTTTTTATTTTCTATGTATTTATCTAGCATAAACATTGAAATATGTGTACTTATCTACTTTAATCTACATATATATATTATTTTTCCCTCATAATTCCTAAATTATACCCATATACAACAGATTAACACATGGTATACATGTTTTCTGTTAGTTACCTATGTAACGACAGTCAATTAAAACAACAATGTTACGATGTAAATATGTATAAATTGTTTTATTTTGTTCATCTTATAATATAATGACATTATTTCTGACGAGCTACCCGGATGAGCAAAAAGTACTTTACCAGTGATTAAATCAATTTGTGTCGGCATACCTTTTATTTTTTCAACGTTTACCGTGAAACAAAGTAGTAGCTTTAAGGTCGTGCTAATATTTATGGATATGTATATATATATCCATATCCATAAATATTAGCACAACCGTAAAGCTGCACTACTTTGTTTCACGGTAAATGATGAAAAGATAAAAAAAAAAGGTATGCCGACACAAACTAATTTCAACACTGGTTTAATAACATTTTAACATTTTAAAGTACATTTCGTCCGTCTTGGGACTATTCATAAATAATGTCATTGTATAAAGATGGACAGTATAGTATATTTATACATATTTACATAGTAACATTGTGGTTTTAATTGGCTATAGTTACCATTGTCTATGGTTACATAGTATATCGTTAACTAACAGAGAACATGTGTGTTAATCTGTAGTATATGGGTTCAATTTATGAAAAATGAGTGGAAGATAATCATGGGATAGATTTAAGAAAATACTCACCCTAGCATCAGCATCAGTCGCTGATACACGATAAATAGAGGTATTATTCGCCACTGTTTCAAATATAAAAACATTGTATGGTGTATTGCTAAAAGACGGTGGAGAATTTCGATTGATGTTTATTATAACATTCACTTGTGCTAATCTTGTAGGTCGTCCGTTATCGGTAGCTTGTACGGCAAACTGTAACAAAAGAATAAAAAATTATCATCTGCGATGATACAAATTTGTTACAATTAAATCAAGGGCAGTAACTCTAGCTGGATATATAGGAAAAGCTTGTATTATGATAGGTCCACCTTCATTAGCCGTTGCAGCAAAGAAGGACATTAATTAAACCTTGTTTTATTTCAATTTGATAAGCTTCTTTGTTTCCATGTCACTGGAGCATTCAGAAGATTCATGAAATTGAGCAAAGCCAACAGGAACATAAACGTTTTTACTTCTACTTAAAGATACATTATGGGAGATAAGATAAAGAGATGGCAGTTCTCGCTATAATAGTTAAAAAGTAGATAGTGTAAAGGTAATTTGCTGAAAATTTCAGTCAAATTGATCCACTATGAGCCGAGAAAGAAGCGGGTAAAATTTTTGCATAGTCTCGGTCATCATTACTAAAATCATTAATATAAACAGCATAGTCTCGATTATCCACCTTTTTTTAATTTAATTATCAATGGCCGTTAGCGGCATATAGGAATCTAATCCAGCCAACATCGAAGACTAGCCTTGACATCGAGAGTTTATTATGGTCTGGATAAGTTAATTAATGTCTAATTGATAATTTAGATAACATTTCAGGCCTAAAGAAAGACTTGTAATAAGCAGATTTTGCTCTTGCATAATGCATGTATAAACTAATAAAGAATTCTGGTTCTATCACATAAGATAAATGTTATTGTCTAGAAACATCTTTTTAGGAAGATGTACAAAAACCTAACCAAAACTTACTGTGAAGCGACTGATGGGAGTTGAAATGAAATGGAATGAAACAGGGTTTAACGTCCTACTTTTCTGCACCGACTGGGCTAAAGATGATGGGCATAAGCCATATAGTGTGCTATGAGGGAAAATTTGCCTGTACAGCGGAACTAAGAACTACACTTATTTTAAATTCCAACTGTCAATGGTTCTTTTACGTGCATGCCAATATGTACTCCACCTCATTGATTTGTACCATCCGAAAGACTAGACACTGTTCCTTGTCAGGCCCTCTGTCTTGCACCACTGACAAGGGGAAACCAGTTGTCTCAGCCAACAAAGGGAGAGAACCTAAGACATCCTAGTTAGCAAGTCGGTGATTCACTGACTGAGATTGATAGTAAAAAAAATATGTACTGATGTCTCATTTATTTCTGTCAATGATGAAAAATTCACGAGTATAAAACCGTAACTACAACATACCGTGAAGCGACTGATTGGAGTTGATTCAGTCAATGGTCTGATAACATATATGGCTCCTGTATTTCTGTCAATGGTGAAAAATTCAAGTGTTCTTCCAATATTATTACCGACAATAGAGTAAAATATTGCGTCCTAAAAAGCAAAAAATATGCCTATAAATACATTTATTCTCACGCTTGAATTAGCACCCAAGCAGCATGATCTATTAAAGATACATTATGTAAGATTTAGATAAAGAGCTGGTCATTCTCGCTATAGTAGTTTAAAAATAGATGATATAAAATGATCAAATTGAAAATTTCAGTCAATTTACTTTATTCTGATCATAGTTATAAATGTTTGAAGTTCTGATAAGAATAGTGAAGTCTTGATTGTTATTGCTGAGATAGTAAACAAAGTCTTGATTTCCCATTTTAACGTTTACCGATTAAAAGGCACAGATGGTCTAATCCAACTAATATTCAAGCCATCTGACAGTCTAGAGAATTGTAATTTGAGTAAATGTCTAAATAATAACTTAAATAACAATTTAAAATCAGTCAAAAGACCTGAAATAAGCAGATTTAGCCTTTAACATAATTCCTATTTAACTTACTCCATTTAGATCACTAGCAGAGATATTAAATACAGCAGAGCTGTAGGGGTGACTGTCTTGGATTGTTGTTTCATAGTTGTCATTGAATATTGGACCATTTGGATTTCGAGGAACGCTTATAGTTACAGTCGATGTATCTTGTTGGTTCCTTACTGCATTATCATAGGCAATAACAGTCAACTAAAAAAACAAAAACAACAATAGCTCAACTTATACACCCCTACATAAAAAAACCCAACCCAAAGCAGTCATTTAAAAGATTTTAATGGCAAAGGCAGCTTTGTTCAGGCTGCAGCATTCCAAAGGGACAATTTCATTCTAGTGATAGCCATTCATATTAGTCAATAGTACATGTAGTAACGTCATTTAAAAGATTTAAATGTTAAAATGGTAATAGAAAATATTCTGACAAATAAATTTGTGACATGATAGGGAGTGGGAGAGAGAGAAATGGGGTTTACACCCATTCGATACAAACTAGGTAATTTTGGGACTAACATATATGGGTCGATTTTATTTTCATTCTTCGCTTGTGTGTAGGGGTCTTTAGCTGTGGGAGGAAACCGGATGACCCTGAGAAAACCCACAAAGTTTGACAGGCGACCCTACTCCTTGTAAGATACAAGCGCGGAATCGAAACCACACCACTCGACACAATGACAGACGTAATGATACAACGCGCACATTTTAACCATTCAGCCACCCAACCCCTCTTACCCTGTAAGGATCAGGAGTAATAAAATAATCTATGATTTTCCCTGCAAAGATCAGGAGTAATAAAATAATCTATGATTTTCCCTGCAAGGATCAGGAGTAATAAAATAATCTTTGGCTATGATTTACCCTGTAAGGATCAGTTATAAATATGTCATTTTTCAAATTCTGTATCAGGGTTATAACACCAGTAGTCCTATTAACACTAAAGAAACTCTGAGCAGGATAGATTCCTGTTGCTTCATAAGCTATGAAACTCTGAAATAATTAAGAATCAATTAATCATCAAAACATTCTAACAGTTATTCTAGAGAGAGAGAGAGAGAAATGGGGTTTAACGTCCACTTGACACAAACTGGACTAACATATGGTCCAATTTTATTTCAATAATACGCTCGTGCATTGGGGGTCTTTAGCAGTGGGAGGAAACCAGAGAAAATCGAAGAGGTTTGACACACTGTTATATTCTATACAATACTTAATGCTAGGTTCTCACTATCACAATTCGCGCTACGATTGAAATGATGGTTTTAATCGTGGAGTAATTGTGGTGATCCTATCAGGTCTTATCATATATCGAGGTCAGTCGTAGCAATTGTGTTGATCGTAACGTAATGTATCTGAACGTTTCTGCACTTACCAGATCGTGGACTCAACAGGGACAGTGGGAACCTAGCATTAGATACGATTACTATCTATTACTGAGCACCGCTTTGGTTGTAAATCATATATATATATACAACTATATTTAGAACATACGTTCTATTAGTAAGCGCAGGAGAACAACACCACACGTCCCAGCAACACATCAAGATCACATGACCTGGAGGCTAGCAGAAGACATAAGTTATACCTGACAATATATTCTTCCTTCCAACCCAGAGAATTATTGTTTTTGTTTATTTACAAACAGATCAGATTAGAAAACAAGCCAACAGTGAAGCTGATGTCCCACACCTCAATCTCAAAATAAACAATTTGTAATTACTAACAAATTTATCTTTTGACAAAGCATCAAAGAAACACAAATTGCTTATCTCTATTAGAAAGGGGACAAAAAATGGATTAAAACTTCAGTCATACAGACATTGACTGCTAATTACAGTACTTTGATATTTTACAAAGCAAATATAAAGACATACTCCTGGTCTAAGATCTCCATCAAAGGCTTGTACTCTAAACACTGAAGAGCCAGATGCAGTTATTTCTGGCAGGTTTCGTGAATATGGTTCGTTTGTAAATGCAGGTAGTTGTATCTGTCGGCTGACATTTATCTCAACAGTTGAATCATCAAAACGTTCTGGTATACCTTGATCTGTTACACGGATGTTTAGCTGTGAAATAATTCAAAATTAGAAAGAATTAAGACGATATCAACATAAAGTATGTCATTTTGGGACTAACATATGGTAAATTCTATTTAAACAAATTGGCAATTGACTTAATGACAGACCTTATGATCTAAAGTGCACATGCTAGACCACTCCCCCTCCGGAAGACAAACAATGCTTTATGAATAATGTCTACCGATAATAATTCTGAAAAAAAACCTATTTATTAAACACTAAACATGGAATAAATAGCAGAGCTGACAGGCCTCTGATAAAAAAAATAAGAAAACTACTTACAGTGAAACGAGTAGTAGACGTCTCCTCCAGGTTTCTGATCAGGAAAATATCCCCAGTGGTTGGACTCAGGTAAAAATATCTGCTATTTTCATCCGCCAATTGAATGTAACGTAACACATCCTAGTAAAAAAAACCATTATATATTATGTTCAAATTATCATAAAATTTAATTTCAGTAAAAAAAAAAAAATGATTAAAAAAAATCAGAAAGACATACATTCACCCTCCCCTCCCCCCCCACCCAAACTTACCCCCACCTTAAAAAAAAATCACCGTTAGTGTTCAACAAAAAAAAATCAGAAATCCATACAAAATAAACCGTCCTGTTCAAAAATTGAAGAGTCTGGTTAAAAATCATCACTGTTGATTGGACCTTTTTTACAGAAGCCATTTTAAAGTAATCTATTTTCTTACATTATCATCATCTGTGGCCGAAACTCTGAATATACTACTTCCAACACTGGTATCAACTGGTAAATTACGATTATATGGCTCATTTTGGAACTGTGGTGCAAAATTATTTCTTTGAACTCTAATAGCAACTGTAGCTGTCGCCCTTACATTAGGTACATTAGAATCATAACATACTACTCGTAGCTGAAAAATACAAAATGATAATTAAAAACTGTGTACATGTTGCTATAGACACTGTATGAATTAATCAAAACTTGATCAGTAATACATCTGATAAGTTGTAGCTTCAGTTTCTAAAATTCACATCCTTTTCAAAGTAGTGATCAGTGTCTTGTACATGGTAGGGTATGCTTAATAAAGAGAGAGAGAGAGGGGGTTTAACATCAACGACACAAACTAGGTCATTTCAGGACTAACACATGGTTTAATTTTATTTCAATAATTTGCTTGCGTGTAGGGGTCTTTAGCCGTAGGAGGAAACTGGAGAAAACCCACAAGGTTGGACAGGCGACACTACTCCTTGTCATGTACAATCGGGGAATCAAAACCACGCCAGTTGACTCAATGACAGCTTATGATGCAGCGTGCACACGTTAACCAGTCGGCCATCCAACTCCCCTGCTTAATAAAACCTCATACCACTTGCCATACCTAATCAGTTTCCGTTATACTTTTGTATATAAATACAATTTTTGAGTGCTCGGTTGGCAGTTTTCGAATAAAAGTGTAAATTCGATTTGTAGATTTTATACAAATTCGACCAGAAGTACATTGACCATTATTCTTACCGTGTAGTCGAGATTTCGATCAACAGTTAGATTCGTGCTCGGTGAAATTACACCAGTTGTAGGATTAACCATAAAATAACTTGGAGCAGGAGCATCACCAATAACTGAATATCTTATCGCACCCTGAAGAGAGAAAAATAGAAACGTAAATTGGTAGGCAGCTCTAGATCTGTTATCCACAATAATTATTCTCTACTAATTTAATTGTCTTTTTTTAAATTTTCAATGAAATTTCAAAATGATTGTAAAGAATTATTTGGAAAGTTAATGACAGTTAATACACCCTTTCTCAATAATCACTGACAAGGGGGAACTTTCTCGGCCAATGCAGGGTTCGAACAACCGACCTCTAGGCTAGCGAGCCAGCGTCTTACCCACTTAGCCACTGTGACCCCCTTCAAGAATCAATGACAATTCTAGTCCCTATAGATAGTTAGAATACCATTACTATTTATTACTCAGTGATGTATCATTGCCTTCATAAAGACTAGAGAAGGTTAGTTGAAACGTAACTCAGTATTAAACAGTAGTTGTATTCCATAGAATTGTTAACTGTGCATTTCCAGTGTATTTACTAAAAGCCATTGTAAAAATATTTAATATTAATGACATTTATAGCAGAACATCAATATATCTCTTACTGTCAGACATTAAAATCTTATTTTTCACATGACTGAAATGGAGTTTCGTGGCACGTCCGCTCCAACAAGGCGACATTCTGCCAAACATACCGTAATTAATACGAGACAAATTAAATATAATTACAAAAATATGTTTATATGCATGAATAAAATAAAATATCACAGTCTAGGGAATTAAAATCAAAAAACGAATATATCATACCACTAAATCACGATCGATACATGAAACTGTAGTCATCTGCTGACCAGTTGTGAATTCTTCGGCTATATTAGCGCTGTATGATGAAGATGGTGTAAAGACTGGAGATTGGTTTCTGGTGATACCAATTGTAACACTTGCTAAACCTGTCTTTTCTTCAAGTCTACGGTCAGAGGCTTGAACTTGGAACTAAAATAAAACATTCATTGAAAGATACATTATGTAAGAGCTAAATCTGCCAACTACTCTTTTTTCTGGCTTTAAATGTTAAATACATAATTAATTAGGCATTTACGCACATGACAAGCCCATTATCAACTTTCCAGACCATCCAATGGCCGTTATATTGAATGGATAAGAGAATCTTTGCCATTTAATAATTTAATGTTAAAATGGATAATCAAGACTTTGTTTATTATGGTAGTTGACAATCAAGACTATCATGTCAAAACTTTAAACACAAATAACTTAGCTCAGAATAAAGTCATTTGACTGAAATGTTCAATATATTCAATTTTCATTATTTATTTTTGAACTATTATAGCAATAGGGATAGCTCATAATCTAAATTTTACATAATGCATCTTTAAATTTAAATATTATACTTTATAAACGTCAACGTTACATGATTTGCATTATTCAGAGAATATCAGGCTAATATGCACCACTGACAAGAGAAAATCATGCTGGAAAATCCTAATCGTACAACCGGGTTAGAAAATCCTGATCAAACCACCGGGTTAGAAAGGCAGCGATCAATTACGCAACTGATATTAATAGATGTACTATTGTTTTATTTGATTATAAAAAAAAACAAGATAAGGACTATTCAAGTTTACCCTGTATTGATTTTGGGTTGATCCAACAACAGACTGTCGTAGGTATATTTCACCAGAGCTTGGCAGTATGTAGAAGTAAGCAAAATGGGGATCTGTTACTGCACCAAGCATTGAATATGTCACAACATCCTTAAAAAGATATAAGCATAAAACATATATTAGTTGTTTCAAACTCCAGTATTAAAACTCAACATTTCGTTGACAGATGCTTTCAGAGTAATTAGGCTGAGATACATGTAGCATCACAACCATAGGCGTATGGGCCAATTTTCCGTTGGGGGGGGGGGGGCTGTATCATTTTTGACTGAAAAATGAACCTATATAGATAACCGTAGTAAAATCTCGAAAAACACCAGACAGTAGCGCCTAGTTAAGCAAATTTTCTAGAACTGCAGTTTGAATTTAAGAACTAGACACCCTGAATGAAAATCAGGATTGTGTGACATTCTGGAACTCTGAACTCTGGTTGGGAAATGTATGACCCCACACATTGGTCAGTAAAAGTCCCCATTTCATTTGCGGGATGGAATAATTTTCATATTTTTCCATTTATATCCACTGAAATTTTATTTTTTTCAAGATTTGCCCCGCCCCCCTAACATTTTGATGACAGATGCTTTCAGAGTAATTAAGCTGGCGTATATAAACACATGCACAAATTTAATGCTCCAACCACCCTTGCCCTTCTTCATAGGCCGACATAAAACAAAACCCAACATGCCCAAAAAAATAAATAAAAAGAAACTTACGCCATCAGCATCTGAAGCAGATACTCTCAATACAGACAAACTTGAAGTATATTCATTAATTGTTTTCTGGTACTCATTACTAGGAGTAAAGACAGGGGCCGATGGGTTGCGATTAACATTAATTGTGACTGTAGATAATCCAAAATTTTCTGGATAAAATGTATCATATGCTCTCACTTTCAGCTGTAATACAATCAAAAATCAATTAAAAAAAAAACATAATTCATCTATATCTAGAAATAAAGTAAATAACCATACAGATCACAATGGTTAAAATTATATGTAAACAAAGAGAGTGGGAACCCTTCGGGGCTAAATCTTACATTCCACAACTTATCTTTGACCAGGTTCTACTTAACATCAGACAAGTTTTATTACTGTGTTAAACAGACAATAAAAACTATGCTGCTCCAATGTCCTACTTTTCTGCACCGACTGGACTTATAAAGATGGGCATACAGCGCGCTAGAGCCTACCTACTTTGATTTCGAACTCCAACTGCCAAGGGTTCTGTTACGTGGACTTTAGCAGTTGGAGGAAACCGGAGAAAACCCTCGAAGTTTGATATAGGCAGCACTACTCCTTGTCACGTACAACTGGGGCATACAAACCACGCCAGTTGACTCAATGACAGACCTTATGATACTGCATGCATGTGCTAACCATTCGGCCATCTAATCCCTCACAATAAGAGAATATGTGTCGAAAGAAAGGTTGTGCTATATGTGTAAAACAAATGACTGTTTTCTATATAAATTGTGTTGTGTTTTTTTAGGTTTTTTTTCGACTTCAGATTATCGTCCAACAGAAATTAGATTCTGTTCCTGCGACCAATTCTTTCACAATTAATTCAATGGTTTTATGGAGATTATCTGTAACCAATTCTTTTACGATCAATTTGATGATGTTACAGTGATTATCTCTTAGACTCTGTTTGTGTGACAAAATTTGTGACAATTTAACAACAGGAATGGCAGATGTACATATGACTTACAGTATAAAGTTTTAAACTGTCTTGTCGAAGATTTTTCGTGATAGTTACATCACCAGTATTGCTATCAACATTAAAATAAGCCATGGCAGTTCCATCACCATAGACCTCATATACAATTCTTCCCTATAAATAAAAATAAATATAAAAGCCTCATTGAGCCATGGCATTGTCATCACCATACACCACATGTACAATTCTTCATTATAAATAAAAATAAAAATATAAAAGCCTCATTGAGCCATGGCAGTTCCACCACATTAGACCACATGTACAATTCTTCATTATAAATAAAAATGAATATAAAATTATAAAAGCCTCATTGAGTAAACCTTTTGCTTATCTTTATATATAGGGTCTACACCTCATATACAATTCTTGCTCTTTAAAGGGGCATTAGGTAAGATTGGATAAAGAGCTGACAGTTCTCACTATAATAGTTTAAAAATAGATAATGAAAAGAGAATATGCTGAAAATTTCAGTCAAATTGCTTCACTCTGAGTCAAGATAATAGCCTTGATCATCATTACTAACGCTGGTATTATAATAAACAAAGTCTCGATTATGCATGTTTACTTTAAATTATCCATCACAAGGCATTGTTGGCTAACCATGGCATCAAGAATTGATTATGGCCTGGATAAGTTAATTAATGTCTAATTAATAATTTAGATAACATTTAAGACCTAATGAAAGACCTGTAATAGGCAGATTTAGCTCTTGCATAATGCATGTTTCAGCAAATCTTATAACCTACTGATCAATCTATTGATAGAAATGCTATTCTGTGAACCCCCAAAGAAATATCAACCAGCTTAAAATTATGTTTTACTTGTCTTCACTACACCTGGATCTGAACGAATTGTTATATAACCTGCGTTCTGGATGATGTCAGGAATTGACCAATCAAATAGTCTGCTGGGTCATTTTATTCATCCGACATGCAGAACTGAGGGTAGATATTTGCAGGGACAGAGAACAAAACAAGGCAAAAGTTTATTTCCGATGTGACCCTGATGTGACCTCCCAGTACAACAAGTAAGATCTTTATGTAATGGAGGCCATTGAAAGTATTTTAAAAAAATGAAACGATATATAGATCTGTATTTTAATCAGATTGAAATAAAAAATAAAAATACCTGTAGATTATCATCAATAGCATTTACTCTTAATATAATACTATCAACTGGTCTAGTTTCAGGTATAGTGATTGAATAATCAGGTCCTGTAAACCTAGGTCGTGCTGTATCTCTAGTAACAGTTATCTGAATGTTGGCGGTGGCAGACTTCTCTGGGAAAGAGTTGTCAAAAACTCCAACGCTGAACTAAAATAATATACCATAATATTATACACGGTTTTAATTGTTTGAGGGCAAATGAATATGGGCTTACTCCATGTCATGCATTGCGATATGTGGGAAATTTTGACCACGCAGCAGGCTTATTCATATTTCGAATTCCAACAATCAGGGGTTCTTTTAAGTGCATAGCAACATGGACTGTTCTTGATTTTTGTCTCATCCTAATGACTAGACACTTTGCCTTGCCAGGCTTCCCATCCTACACCACTGACAAGGCAAAAACAGCAAAGGGAACTTTCTTGCCAAACACGGCAGTCGTAGTGAAAACCTACTGGTTAGTCAGCCAGCGCCTTTATCACTGAGTCACTGTGTCTCAAAAGATGAATATGTGGTAAATTAGTATTAAAGTAAGTTAAATTATATGGTTCATCTATTTCTATGTTGTAACAATAGACCCCCATGAGAATCAACTTACAAATACTTCAGGTGTCTGCGATCACAAGATTATACTAAATAAATTGATAGTGTTCCTTATGGCACTTGTAGAACCAGAACAGAACGGGAAGAAACACATCTAACATTATACTAAATAAATTGATAGTGTTCCTGATGTCACTTGTAGAACCAGAACAGAATGGGAAGAAACACATCTAACATTATACTAAATAAATTGATGGTGTTCCTGATGTCACTTGTAGAACCGGAACAGAACGGGAAGAAACACATCTAACAATTAATTCTGACACACAAAATAAACATAGTACTGATGACACCAACTTATTATTTATTCAAAGATGTATTATGTAAGATTTAGATAAAGAACTGGTTGTTCTTGCTATAATATTTCAAAAATATTCCCGATTGTCAAGTAACATTTCTACTACAACAAAGTCTCGATTATCCAATTTAAGGTTAAATTATTAAATGGCGCTTGCATTCTAATCCATTCAATATCTCCGTCATCTGATAGTCTAGAGAGTTGATTATGGGTTTGTCATGGGAATTAATATCTAAATAATAATTTATATAACATCTGAACCAGGAAAAAAAAGACATGCAATAGGCAGAATTAGCTCTTGCATAATCCATTGTTAAGGATAGCCGTTAAACGGTGGAACCTATAAGTTGATGTCATCATTACATACCTTTTGTTAGAGATATAAATAGATGAAATATCTCCATTAGGGCAGAGTCACACTAGTGGATTTATCTTTAAGGTTTCATATCTAATATAGAGGACAAATCCTTTCATGCATGTAAAATGTGGATAAATCCTAAAATATGAAGTTCGGCTCGTAGAATTTGTCCCACGAATTGACCTCTCTTTCTTCTCAAAACAGTCAATTATGAACTCAAACGAACCAAACCAGAGAATTATAACCTACAGGACTTATCTTAAATAATACTCACTGTGTAAAAACTAACAGCATTGTTTCGTAAATTCGTTTTCACAAAAATATCTCCAGTAGATGGATTGACATAGAAGAATCTTCCAGCATTATTTAATCCTCCATTTGAAATAACATACGAAAGAACATCCTGTTTATAAATAAAACAATAACATATGTATAAGCAACAATACAAAACTTACTTAATTATCATGTTTTCAAGTTATTCATTTTGGGTAATTAAATTACTACTTAAATTTGTCATGATTATGTATTTCGATATTATTTTTACTGAACCCTTTCTTAAAGACTCTGTCAAAGTACCGTAATCCCAGTGACCGCAGGACAAGACATATTATTGCCGGAACCAAAAGTATGAGAACAATTGTTTATTCAGTTATATTGACCGCCTTCGGTCCACATCACCACTTTTTTTAAAAAAATAAAAAAATAAAAAGTCTCATCAATTACTGCTTGAAAATATTCCCCCTGGTTACTGGAAGTAACTCCATAAAAACAAACTAGAATGAATCCAGAATGTAATGTAGGCTCAATTATCAAATCAGCAAAGACACAGTAAAATGATGAGATAAAAGTCATTTAGCCCAGTAGATATGCTTTGACAAAAGAAAACCCTTGCTCCACCATCAAATTTTTTGGAAGGATTATTTTTAATGTATGGACTAACATTTGACATAATCTTTGAAATGAACCATATTTTGGGCATTCCTTTCTGGGACCTTTAATGCAACAGGTAAGCTCTGGATAACCATTTATGTATGCAAATGGTTAAAACAATATTTATTCATAAAATATCAAATATAACATGATAGGATATGATACTAAAACAAGCTAGAAGCTGTTATAAATTTGATTCATATATAGCTATATTTACTTAATGATAATTCAAGAATCTATTTTTGTACATAGTAATAACTGAAGGTAAATATTTCACGAAGAACAAAATTGAACATAAATAATGTAAATAAACAAATAATGTAGATAAATAAATGAGTAACAGGTTGTTGTTACCATCGCACAGCAATTGCTTAATTTACATCAATGATTTAATGGTATTAAAAGATACATTATGGGAGATTAGATACAGAGCTGTAGTTAAAAAATAGATAATGTAAAGAGAATTTACTGAAAATTTCAGTCAAATTGATCCACCCTGAACAGAATATTTAGCGATTGAATTTTGGGCCTAGCCTCGATAATCATTACTAAAGTCAGTATGATAAAAAAACATAGTCTAGATTATACATTTTTTGATTTAATCAGCAGCAGCAGACCGTGTTCTAATCCAGTAAATATCGCAGGCTAGCGACGACATCGAGAGTTGATTATGGTCTGGATAAGTTAATTAATGTCTAATTAATAATTGAGATAACATTTCAGGCCTAAAGAAAGATCTGCAATTGGCAGATATGGCTCTTGCTTAATGTATGTTTAAGAATGTATACAAATACTTACATTATCATTATCAGTAGCAGTAGCATTAATTATGTTTGTTCCGGGAGCAGTAGTTTCAGGTATTGATGTAGAATAGAAATTATTTGGTATGAATATTGGACGATTTGGATTACGATCAATTTCAATAAGAACATTCTCAGCTACTCGAACTGTGGGCTTGAGGTTGTCGTAAGCTTCTACTCGTAGCTAAGAAAAATAAGTGACAAAAGTAAGAAGTGTTAGAGGCATGAAGAGTCAAAAATAAACAAAGTCATTATTTTATAATGTCAAAACCCTCAAATTAATCTTGGTAATTTAATCCAATGTCTAATATGTACAAATTTTAAAAGTAATAAATATTTATAATAAGAAATGAAATGGGTTTTATTAATGTCCTACTATTCAGTAATGACTGAGCTAATGAGGACAAGCTTATGCTATACATTGTGCTATGAGGGTAACTTTGAGTGGACAGTGGTGAGCCCAACCTACTCTTATTGAGTACTCCAACCTTCAAGGGTTCTTTTACATGCATGCCAATGTGTACATGGGACCTTGGTTTTTCGCACAATCCAAATGACTAGACACTACCAGACCTTCCATCCTGCACCACCGACAAGGAGAAACCTCACCGGAAAATCCAGAGGGACTTTCTCGGCCAACCCAGGGAGCCACCCCCCTAGACCTCCTTGGTTACTAGCCAGTGTTTTACCCACTTAGCCATTCCCACAAAGTTATAAAAATATAATGTTCTATATTTACCACATATAGCAATGATCTATACTGATCGTTAATGTATGGTTGTTGAAGGAAAATTCGACCAGTTGTTGGATCCAGTCTAAAATAATCGGTTCCTGGTAATGATCCGATTAAATTATACACAACAGCACCATCAGGCTGAAAAATAAATATCACATCTCCAATTGAGAATTAACTTTAAGTTTAAAAGTATAATTGAAAAGTCCACAAATCATTTTTGTTACGGTGCCCCACAAGGGACAGTGTCAATACAGCTTTATCTAATTTAAACTGTCTTTTTAACTGCACATCAATGTGTGCATGCACTGTGCCTTTTTTTTTGTGACATCCGAACAACTAAACACTTCCTTGTCAGGCCCTTCATACTACAATACTGACAAGGAGCAACCACTCTGGAATTTGCTCATCCAGCATGAGGAACAAACCCGAGACCTCTAGATTAGCTAGCCAGCATCTGACTCACAGAGCAAATGGAGCTCCCCATACTACCATAGAAATCTTATCCTATTCTTAATTCTGCTATATTACCTTAAACCCACTGTTTAACAAAATAATCGAGAGCGACTAATATAAAACAAAACTTACCGTTAGATCATTATCAACAGCAGTGACAGTAAAAACTAACGATCCATTTAATTGGTTCTCAGTTAATCTAACCCTGTAGGGAGTTTGATTGAATACTGGTGGACTATCGACAGCCAGACGGGTTATTCGTATATTCACTGTAGCTTGAGATGTTTTACCACGATTATCTGATGCTCTCACAATGAACTGGAAAGAAGGAACACATATATCAATAGAATAAACAAATATATTTGGGTCATATAAACAACGATGGCAGTTTTATCAGGTCCAACATTTGCAACTGAATAATTTTGTAATTTTGATTGGGTGGGTTCTCTGCAAATTTGAAAAAAATATTTAAATAATAAATGCAGGAGAACAGCAATACATGCAAAACATAAACAAAAACAGACAAGTCTGAGGACAAGGCAACCTACACAGACATTGCAAGATAAACAACAAACAGGAATACTAACTATATAGTGTTTACAAGAAATTCTGGATGGAATTAAATAAGTTATAAAAAAAACACCAAGCACATGTGCGTTCTGAGAAACAAGTTAGGGCCAAACAGGAAACAAATGTGACTGTATAACCAAGTACCCTAGGGATTTCTGATAAAACTTATCTTGCAGCTCACCAACTTCACTTACTGTAGAGGGTTGAGGGGTCGAGTGGTCTAATGTGTACACTTATAACATAAGGTCTTGAGTTCTTGAAGCATTCTCATACTTAAGTTAACAATTTACTCAAAACTGTTCACCTTATTTTAAATAGATTATAGCCCTTTATAAAACTTTTGTTGTATCTAATACATCAATAAGAAACTATGTGTAAAGTTTTGTGTTTCTGCATCAAAGATAATACTCATAAACAATGATTGAAAGTTGGGTAAATTCTCAACTTAAGCCTGAAAAAGCTTTGTGAACTAAGGTGGAAGTGGACGTAAAACACCAGAAACGAACGAACGAAGGGCAAGGTCTGTCATTGGGTCAAGTGGCCTGGTTTTGATACCAAGCTTGTAGGTGACAAGGAGTATTATCTGTCCCTAGCTAAACTAGTCGAAAACAGTTTAAATTACTTACTGTATATAAATCTATTGGTGCTTGTCCAAGCGGTCGTCTGGTTGAGATTTCTCCAGTTTTGGGATCAATATAGAAGAAATCATTTCCATTGTTGGTAGAACTAACAAGATCATAGGTTACAACATCCTTAAATATATCCAAATAACAATAATCAATTATTAAAAAGTATTGATCATTTGGATTTTTTAATAAATAAAAAAATAAAAAATTCTCATGGCTGTAATTAATATGTACCCAGATCAATAATAATAAAAACAATAATAGCAACCATAATATCACCTCCAGGCTTCAAACAGATCAAAACTAAGTCTAACAATTATGTTCGCTCACAAAAAAATGTCACCGCTCATCACATAGCGAATATCATGGGTTGATAAATTTTAATTCAACATATATTTGTAAATATTGATCAGAATTAACCCATTTTTGACGTATAGTCATTTTAGAGATTCCTCTTTCACAACATAGTGGGTTACTAGAGATTCCTACAAAATTATACTACAAAAAAAAAATATCAGTAATAAGATTTATCAATTCTTATAAAATTATACTGAACATATCAGTATTTTAAAAAGGCAGTAAAATTAATCAAGTATCTACTGCATAAAAGGATGGAAATGAGCTTGAACTTACCCCATCATCACTGTCTGTAGCTGTAACTTGCAACACAGTAAATCCCACAAAAGCATTTTCTAAAACTGTTTCTTGATATGAAGAAGATGGTTGGAATACAGGAACACCTTGATTTCTTAATACATTAATGGTCAACGCTGCTCGGCCTCTATTATCGGGGTATGCAGTGTCATAAATTTCTAGTGAAAGCTACAACAGAGAAAGTTTACACAATATCAAACCGAAAGAAAGAAATATCAGCTGAAAAATATGCACTCCAATGAAAGAACAAGGGCAATGAATCTGCAAATAATTGTCAAAAATCACAAGTAATAGTATGTGCTGTGTGTCTCTCTCTCCCTCTCTCTCTCCCTCCCTTTGTTATATCATCCAAGTAATTCTTGTCTACTGAACTTTTTAGAAATGATCATTAAGATGTAAAACAATAAGAAGACAAACTTACTGTGTACACATTATCTTGAAGACCAGTTGTCTTTAAATCCCTGCTGACAGTTACAGCTCCAGTGTCTATGTTGACAGAGAATAGTTCTGGTGCAGGGTAGATTCCAACAGCCACAAACTGTAGTCTACCCTAAAATATGTTTTCAATACAGTATGGCATTAGAATATATTTGTTTAAAACAGGGATGCAATGTCATATTTATTAGTAGATTTAACATTAATAACTAATTATGCCATATAAACCAAACGAAATGAAAGAAAATGGGGTTTAACATCCTGATTCGACTAGGATAATGAAGACGGGCATACGCCATACAGCGTGCTATGAGGGTAATTTTGCTCTGACAGCGGTGCTACCGCCTACTCTTATATCAAATTCCAACTGCCAAGAGGTCATTTACTTGCACGCTAATGTGTACACAGGACCACAGTTTTTAGTCCCATCCAAACAATTAGACAGCTGTCAAACATAATTCATATTTTTAGGCAATATTTGTGCCATTTTCATAAACACATAAAAAAAAAAAAAAATTCTGAAAACAAAAGTCCTCGGACTTAACCCTTTAGATCTTGGTACATTTAAATGTTAAATACCCCAGTTCCTCGAAGAAAATAAAAGAAAAGTGATATACTAATATTGGTACACCCATGGACACACCAAAACAGACTGAAACTGCTGTTCCTTAGACAGTCTCAAACTGCCCATGATAAGGGAATAGCTTTCCAACCATTTACTAGTCCGTACAGGCACATGACAGGGCGGTTTGGAGCGGCCTAAGACGTCCTAGTTAGGGCGGTCTAGTGCCAAAGGGTTAAATAAAGACAGTATTAATAAATATCAGCATAAATAATAGATTTGTCTAACCTTAAGATCATCATCAACACCTTGTACTGTGATGATATTAGTATTGACTGAACGTGTTTCGGGTACTGAAGTTTGGTATGGTGCACCTATAAACCTGGGGGTGAATTGATCTCCCTCCACAGTAATAAAAACTTGAGCTGTATCCGTTTTCTCCGGAATTCTCTGATCTGTCACCTGTGCTGTTAGCTGTAATTATTTAATAAAATCTGCATATAATCTACAAAATTGATCAGTCAACTAAACACAAAAACGTAAATGGGAAAAAATCTTTGGATTTGTCTTTGAAACAATTGTTTTCTTCATTGTAACATATTTTAAGTTCAATCTATGTCGGAGAAAAATTATGCTTTCACAAAATTCGTACTCAACCGTGATTGAGGTGTAACAGTGATACATTTGAACAGTTTTCAAACCTCTAAAGCTTCCACAAGCTTCATACAATCAGGGGTTATAATTCAGGAGGTTACCGTTCGATACACACCAATATGGAAAAAACCCAAGACTTTTAGGATAAAAACATATATGAACAAAACCGGGTAAAAATTGTGACCTCTAGTGGGTCCACAAGCTAAAAACATGATTTTTCTTACAAACAGAGGCAAAATCCATTAAATTTTGTTCTGATATATGTGCTACTATCAAAAGGAACATATATAATAAGTTCCGTCAAAATCATATAAAAATTTTGATCTGTAGAGTGTCCACAAACAAATGCCAACAGATACACGGACAGACAGGAACGACGACATAATACAAACACATGTGGGTGTATAAAAAACTCCAGAAAACTTACAGTGTAACTTCCAGCATTACTATTGGTTAGAACTTGACGTAATTTGATTAGACCAGTATCAGGATCAATAGAGAAGAGATTAAGTCCATTAACATTACCAAGTAGGGAATACCGTAACTTATCCTGATAAAAAAACAAATACAATTAATAATATTGGAAGATAGGTTGCCAGACAACAAAACATACAACCACAGCAGTTAAATCATCCAAGCACTCAACATGGGTAGTCACATAGTTGTTCATTTATGAGACATTAAAATATAATTTTCATGCAGATCGGATGAAAACCTTTGTCGTTTGAGCATTCACAAGGTCAATAACTCTAGCAGTTAAAAACAGCAATTGTTGAAATTCAACAGGATATTCCATTTGACTATACTAATATAATATTTAAAGCGTGAAGAAAGATATGCACTAGGCAGCTTAAGCTCTTGCATAATGCAACTTTAACACACCAATGCACATGAACACAATGATGTTTAAGGTCTGGGCAAAAGCTTATTGAGATAACAGCAGCCAAGAATTCGAGCTGTCAACAAGCGAAAAAGTACATATGCACACAAAGGATTAAAATATAGCTAGGTTTTGGGAGGAAAAAGAGAGAGAAAAATGGGGTTTAATATCCATTCGACACAAACCGGGTCATTTTGTGAATAACATATGGTATAATTTCATTTCAATAATTCTCTTGCACGTAGGGGTCTTTAGTTGTACAAGGAAACAAGATGATGACGAGAACAAAATCACAAGGTTAGGCAGCCGACTCTACTCCTCGTTAGGTACACCCATGGGATCGAAAGCATGCCACCTTATTCAATGACAGACCTTATGACCTAAAGCACACTTGTTAGACCACCCAAAGCCCCCTTCTCCCTTGAAACTCCCCCACCCCCGGAGGTAAGAGGAAAGAAGAATGAGTAAATAACAAATACATACTCCATCTGAATCTACAGCTGTGGTATTAATAACAACATTGCCCAGTACGAAATTAGACTGAATAGTTCTAAAATAACGATCTTCTAAGAAGTTTGGATTTCCCTCATTTCTCAGTATAATAGCAGTTACATCAGCTGTTCCTCGTCTTGTTGGATCTTGATCATCGTAGGCTACAACTCGGAACTAAAAATAATAGAAAAATCATAACCACAGGTTGACCTGCTAAACTCAGTATTAAAATTAACGAAGTTGTCTCCAGTTTAAAACTTTTTGGTGATATTTTAGACAATAATTTGCAACAGAATGACCAAATAAGGTCAAGATAAAAAATACCTGTGTTTATGGTTACTGAATAAGCTTATACACTTACTCAAAATTTCAAAATATTTAAATCACATAGACTAGTTCATCAATGCCTGACATTGGGATTTTTCTACTATGGCACCAAATGCTGTATCTAAACTAAATTTATCGAAATTTGTTTAAACTCTTTCCAATGTTATTTGTTCGCTGTTCAACGGATGCGATCACAAGATAGCCATAAAATAAAATTCACTCTGACTACGCCATAGCTTTCAATTATAAGGACACTATTTTTAAAACTGAGCCTTTGTCAGCATGTGAATAAAATAATAAATTATAACGGTAAACATTATTCAAAACTTAATCTTGCATAACTGGCTCATTGACCCAATTCCAACCATCCCTAAATCACTGTAGGATATAGAAAAGCCATGATCTAGGCATGTGACGTGTCAACAAGCCATAATTAACCTTTGTAAATGAACCAAAAGTAGATTGATTTACGATACCATAGTGACCGGTTCATGGCTTTATTAATCGGCTTTTGCAAACATCAAGCCGATTACGATCCCTTAAACACAGGTATTTTATCCTTGTCCTAAGTACACAAATTATGCATCAAAACATTTTTAAACTATATTAAATTATGTAGTTATTATCAATTGAATACCATATTCATAAAGCACATTGTAGTAGGGATTATTTTGTATACATACCGTTATCTGTAGGCGTGTGTCTAGTATAACACTAGCTGCTAAAGTTATATTACCAGTACTTGGATTGACACTAAAGTACGGTGTAGCAGGCAGCCCTTGTGCATACACTATTGTACCCTACAACAAAACAAAAACCATTGTACATTTATTTCGGAAATGAAACGAAATGGGGTTTAACGTTCTACTCCGACTGGACTAATGAAAGGCATACGCCATACAGTGTGCTATGAGGGAAATTTTGACCTGACATCGCTTAGTCTTAAACTGCCAACGTATTTTTTTACATGCACCATTGACAAGGAGGAACCACGTCAGAAAATCAAGATGGACTTTCTCGGGACACTTAATCCCTATAAGTGGTAGGTAGCCGTCCCAGATTTCTCTCAAAAAGCTACTAGTTTTCTTCTACTAATGTGAACACTTCTGATGTGAGTGAGATCACGTGGCTTTTCCATTTATATAGTTGATGGGGACTGGATAACAGTTGAGGTCTCACACTGACAAAATGATATGCCACAAAGAAATTTCACACCAGATGGCATAATGATAAGATTTAATCCACAAAGGTGTCTACACTCTTTGTATACTTTTTTTTAACAATCAGAGTTACCCCCCTTTATAAAATAGACATCATATATACCAGTAGAAAGTACTTCCAATGTTTACCTGTAGATCCGAGTCACGGGCTTGTACTGTTTTTAGAACTTCAGGAGACGGCTGTCTTGTTTCCTTTATAGTGAAACTATATGGTATACCTTCGAATGCTGGTGTGGCTGCAAATCTGGTCACAACAACAGTAACTGTTGTGTTATCACATCTTCTCGGTATTCCATCGTCACAAGCTCTTACAAATAACTAGAACAAAAAGAAAATATCAGCCATTTGTTATCACTGAAGATTGAGTATTGTGCAGTTGTGTGTTTTTACATCGAGATGCTGTACATATATCTTCTAATAACTCAACATAAGTGTTTTACTTTCCCCACGTGTTGATTAATTAACCCATTGATCAATTTTCTACCACATTTAATGAGTAGGTAAACTCCACTAGACACAAACTAGGTCATTTTGAGACTAACATATGGTTCAATTTTATTTCAATGATTCACTTGCATGTAGGGGTCTTTAGCAGTGGGAGGAAACCGAAGGCCCCGGAGATAACCCACAAAGCTGGACAGGCAACCTCCAACTACAAGCATGTGTCACTAGTTTAGTGAAATGTGAAGAATAAAACAAATGGTTTTGGTAAGAACAGTGAATAGGAACAGTTAATACTCCTTTTGATAACGAAGTTGAAATCGATTTGGCTAAATCACATGTTCGGAAAAATGCTGAGTGGTAATAGCAGTTTGATTTTTTAAACTGGTATTAGATTGACCACAGCAAGGTCTATCGATCAATCATAATTGGATGCACATTATAGTCACAATTCTATAGAATACAATTACTGGGCGATGTTTGGACTAGTCTTTTCTACTCTTTATCAAGCATTTGTCATCATTACTTGATAAAGACTTGATAATCCTTGTTCAAATGTCGCTCAATAATAAACAGTAAGTAGTTGTATTCCATAGAATTGTAACCTGTATATTTCAAGTTCAATTACTAAATACCATTGAAACAAGGTAATCATACATAGCTTTTAAATCTTCTTTGGATCAATGAAAGACACTAACAAACTACCTGACATTTTCACCTTGCTGTTGGACATGAATTAAAAGTATCATTAAAATAACTGATAAAAAAACAAATTTGTACTAGACAAAATGCCAGGCACCAGTATCATTGTGCCTGATAAAAGCTGAATATGTACCTGACAAGGTCTTTGACAGGTGTTGTATTTCCAGGCTTACATAGTTCTAATGTTTAATACTTACTGTAAATCTGTTGACATTGTTATTGAGATTAGATTCAGCTACTCGAATTACTCCTGTTCTGTAATCTATGGTGAAATAAGGTTTTTGTTCAACAACAGATGAGGCAGTGAAACCTGTGATCTCATAACTGATGACATCCTATTCAAAACAAAAAACAACACAATATATAATGATTTGTTCACAGCTCGGATAATATTTTAAAGGTATTTACCGAGTTGTTTGGAATAGATATCGGCAACTCCAGTATCGACAAACTGGCTGTGTATTTCTCGTGATAGGCCACTTATTGGCCAACTACCGATGATGAAACCGATTATTGAATCATCACTAGATTTCATGATTTACAAAAAAATGAACTAAACACAAATATTTTTCAGGGAGTTAACATACCAAAACATTGTCTTTATGGATTTTTATACTAATATTTCTGACTGTCTGTCTGTCTGTTTGGGGTTAGCAGCTACACTAGGGCTGTCCCGTGATTGAAATTTGGTGTATAGGTGTTGCTCGGACTGGGGTGTAACATATGAATTCAGGGCCTGGTCGAGTGTCTGCCATTTTGAAGTTTGTGCCAGACATACTTGTATATTGATAAAATCATTGAAAAGACTAAAAACAACCCCAACAAATCAGAGTCGGAAAAAAATGACAGCCACAAGAGGAAATATGCCTGACAATGTCTGTGACAAGTGCCTTATTTACTTGTTTACCTGGATATCTTTATCCTCAGCTGTAACCGTAGTAACGAGTGATCCAACAAAACGATTTTCATTGATAGATGCAGTATAAGAATCAGGGATGAATACAGGAGGATTTGGATTTCTGTTGACTTGTATTGTACCAGTAGCTGTTGTTTGTCTAGTAGGTCTGGCTGTATCAAATGCTACAATACGAACCTATTAAATGAAAAGAGCAATAAAATAAATAAATTACAAGTTCCTAACAACATTCTTTTTGATAACTGATGCACATGGTGGGGGGGGGGGGAAGAGAGAGAGGTTAACCTCCACTCAACACAATGTAGGTCATTTTGGAACTCACATAAGGTTCATTTTTATTTCAATAATTTTCTTGTGTGTAGGGGTCTTTAGAAGTGAGAGGAAACCAGAGTACTCGAATAGAAGCCATAAGGTTGGACAGGCGACCCTACACCTTGTTATGTACAAGTAGGAAATTGAAACCATCTCACTTGACTCAATGATAGACCCCATGAATAATGATCTAAAGCGCATGTGTTAGACCACCAAACTTCCCAATTTCACATGGAAGTGAAATGAAATGGGGTTTAACAGCCTACTGTTCTGCTCCGAACTGGGCTAATGAAGACAGGCATATGCCAATACAGTGTGCTATGAGGGAAATTTTGCCCAGACAGTGGCGCTACAGCCTACTCTTAAATCGATTTACAAATGTCAAGGGATCTTTTACATGCACACAAGACCTTGGTTTTTCATCTCATCCAAATGACTATACACTGCCCTTGCCAGGCCCTTGGTCCTGCACCACTGACAAGGAGGAAGCATGCCTGAAAATCCTGATTAAGTTTCTTGACCAACGTTAGCGAGCCAACGTCTTACCCACTGAGTTATACATGAAACTAGACTACAATTATACAATAACTATATGACAAACATGATGATAATATTCATTCCTCATGTGGTAACAAAGAAAACTACCACAAACGGTTACATACAGTGAGAAGAGAAATGGGGTTTAACGTCCACATGTGGTTTAATTATAATTCAACGATTTCGCTTGCACAAACGGGTCGTTAGTATGGGAGAAAACTGGAGGATCACGAGAAAACCCAAGACGTTAGGCAGGCAATGCTACACGTTGTCACGTACAAGTGGAGAATCGAAACTGCAGCCCTTGATTTAACGAGAATCAATATATCATACTAACCACTCACCCACCCAGAACCCCTGGTAATATACAATGTCTTATATATCATACTAACCACTCAACCACCCAGTGCCCTGGTAACATACAATGTCTTATATATCATACTAACCACTCAACCACCCAGAACCCCTGGTAACATACAATGTCTTATATATCATACTAACCACTCAACCACCCAGAACCCCTGGTAACATACAATGTCTTATATATCATACTAACCACTCAACACACTTTGTGACTAACTGATAATACAATTTTACGTAGGAAACTGAAGGTGTTGGAGAAATCATACTAATAAAGGTTCTACTTACCGTGTATGAAGACAATCTGAGGTTATCATTAAATAGACTTGTCTGCGTCCTGACTTCTCCCGTGACAGAGTTGATGCTAAATATACCATCACTGCGAGAATCACCCATCAGTCTATATTCAATACGCTCCTGCAATAATACACACAGCTTATCATACAGGTAGCCAAATATCAAAATATAAAATGTGCATGAAAAGTACTAAAACACACCATGTGGAACAGAAACTGGGTAAGATGTCATAACAGCCATCTTAGAATTGTGAGTCACAAAAAAATCGATGCATAATTGTCCAAGGAATAAGCATGCCAAGTTTTATAGCCATCTAAGTTGAATTGGTTGAGCCTTAGACTTTTTTACAAAGAACGTCGACCCAATGGAAAGGAAGAACAACAATTGGATGAGTAGCCCTGATCCAATAATATTCTCTCTATCTTTAAGGCTTTTTTATCGACTTGCCAAATAGATTTGAATTTAGTGAAGATCTCATGTAAGAGAATAGTCTATTTCAAAGTACTTTTGCGAGTTCGTTAAATGCACTGATTAACTGTAAATGATTCTTGTGACTGGACGTAGTTGAAAAAAAACACATGATCACCGATCCAATCATCTAATCGCACCTAGAGGTGATTTGGCAATTTGTGGTAATCGCTTTGGAAATCTTTGTCGATAAATTTGTAGATTAGGGTAATCGATTTGAATTAGATGGATGTTAAAGATGAAAGTTTGATTGAATGCAAATCACTTTGGCTAATCAGTTGTCAATAAAAACACCTCTAGAGTAAATAGCAATATATCCCCCCTCCCCCACTCCCCATTAACATGTGGTCGTATAAAACTTACAAAGGTTCTGGGATAAAAAGATACATGCCATGTGAATTATGTAAACTAATGATGTTATTGATGTAAAAAATATCACATCATACTTACAACAAGATCATCATCAACAGCTGTTGTATTGAGTGCTAGAGTTCCAACCGCAGCGGTTTCTTCTAGTGTGTTGAAATAAGGTAGTCGTACAAATCGTGGTGCAAACCGATCGCGTATAACAGTAATATATGCCGTAATACTTGCAGTTTGTTCTGGATTACTTTGATCTCGAGCCATAATATTCATCTAATAAATAAACAAAATACAAAATAACATGATTATTTAATACCTTTTTAACATTTTGAAGAATACAAAAATATGAACAAACTGAACTGTAAAATAAGATTAATCACTGTTCTGCTAGCAGAAATTCTTGAGATAATTTCAGGATTTCATTAATACCTGATCTGTTTTATTTTAGTCCAAGATAAAAACAAATGGACTTACCCTATATTCTGTAATCTGGTTAAATGTATCAACTAGCGGTTGACGAACACGAATCATACCATTATCAACGGATAGTGTAAATAAATTTAATGTATTAGTTTCTCCTGTAGCTTGGTATATAACACGATCCTAAAAAAACCAATAATAATTAAATTTAATGAAGTATTACTGAGGAAAAGCCTTTAAGAATAAGTGCAATTTCAAATTTTTCTTAAGAAACGCCAATTATGAACAAATAGAATCTAATATTTTTAGATAGTTTGTTCCAGAAAAGAGGGGCTTGAACATAAAATGAACGATTTTTTATCTACTGTTGTAAGATGAAATATGATCTCAAAATGAATTAAAAATTCTTACCCCATCAGCATCTGTGGCTTGTACTGTTAAAATATTTGTACCAACAGCAACAGTCTCATTAATAGTTACTCTATATTCATTATTGTTAGTATTCCACCGCGGTGCGTTTACATTTCTTCTCATTGTGATGGTGACAGTGGATGTTGCTATAGCATTAGGCTCAGCAGTATCTACAGCAGTTACTTTCAGCTATAATATAAAGACGTCATAATTCAGTATTCAGAAGAGCAGAGGATGCAATGCGCCAATACAATTTAGTTTTGTGTTGAGTGAAGAATATCTTTGTGGCAAATTTAAGGGTGAAATGGATGAGGAAATGAGCCCCCCACTTACCCATCTCCACCCTTCTGCCACCCCTCTAAGGGAAGTCAAAATAAATGACTTAATCAAAAACCACAGTTCTGGGGAATATTTAACTCCAAAAATCACCCTTCAATCTAAGAAATTTGATAATTTCACCAACCACTCTTTTTGGAAATCCTGCATATTCCACTAGAATAGTAACTTTATAGACAGACAGAGAGAAATGGGGTTTAATGTCCAACCAACACAAACTAGGTCATTTCGGGACTAACATATGGTTAAATTTTATTTCAATAATTCGCTTGTGTGGAGGGATCTTTAGCAGTCTGAGGAAACTGGAGGACCTGGAGAAAACCCACAAGGTTGGACAGGCGACTCTACTTGTCACATTCAAGCCGGGAATCGAAACCATGCCACTTGACTCAATGACAGACCTTGTGATTTCACACACACGCATTAAACCGTAAAACCATCCCCCCCCCCAAAAAAAAAACAACTTTATAGCATTATCTCTATTTTCCCGATGGATTGTGATCTCTACAAATCTACGCACAATCCCAATAAAAAAATAAAAATATTTGTGTAAATGTTACGTAAATAACCAACTTACCATATATGTAAAAGTATTCCTGTCAATTTTAAGATTATTTTTAATAAATACTTCTCCACTAGTAGAGTTGATACCAAATAAATATGGTGACAAATCATCTCCAAATACATCATATCGTAAAACACCCTAAAACACAGTCAAATAATTAATCACAGGTTATTACAATGGGAAAGATTGATTTGCTAGCTCGTAATATTTGGACAGTTTTAACAACAATCGAATTGACATGTTTACAGCAGTAATGCTAAAATCTTCTTTTAACTTTACATGATGAATGACCCTTTGAGTTCATGAGCAGTATAGGTCAAGCCAAGGTGTGACATCACATCATACCACCTCGATAACACATGCATTGTTTACATCAGACATAGTAACACAAACCAGTCTGTGCAGAAATTATGCCTTTTACTCATTTTACGTCTTTGCACACAGTTTTATGTACCCAATTACACTAAATAGGAAATTATTTTTATCAAGATATAATTCCAATGAATTTGTTTTAGATTTTATTTTGCAGAAGAATAAAAAGTTAAAACTGAGAACTATTTAAGTCGTGCTGATGTCATCCCTTTCAGTGATAGTAGCGAATATTTACTGCTGATCAGTTTGTTAAATTGAGTGGAACAATGTCCGTTAAATTGAGTGGAACGATTTAGCCTATGTCAGTCGCAATGGTAAATGAAAACGTATTGGCAAGAGAATTTGCAATATAAGGAAATGCTATTATGGAGGTATACAGTGGCGGCGCCGGGGTATGGGGGGGGGGGGTCAAATCTGGTCTGCCCTCTGTTTGCCCACCCAATAATTTTAGAAAATAAAAAAAAGTATTTGTGATACGTTTCGGTATTCAATACCTTCTACGGTGAATAAATCCCACATCCCCACTCAGTCATAAACTTGCATGTTGTAGAGCATTTCCGACAGTTTATTTTTCAAAATTTTCTTGGCGAGGTCCCCAATAGACTCGCTACTTTGGCGCTCACAAGGGGAATTCGTTGAGGTTCGCAAGTCAGTTCGTTTGACATTTTGTTCTCTAGTCGGATATAAACTAGTGATCAGGCGACGAACGGTATCTGGGCAGATCTATTTATCTCGACGAACGGTGCCTGAAAGAATACTGTAAGACAGCATTTCTGGCAGTCTATTTTGCCTACTTTGACGCTTGTGAGTGGGTTTCGTCGTGATTCGCAAGTCTGTTCGTTTGACACTTTACCTCATCGATCAGTGCCTGAAATACTGCCAGGCTGCATTTCCGGCAACCTGTTTTTCAAAATTTTCTGGGGGAGGCCCCCTACCCCTAGTTGAAGCTTGTGCCTTTGCCCCCTTAACCTTGGACTTTGACCCAGCTTTGCCCCTCCAATCACCGACGGCTGGCGCCGCCACTGGAGGTATAGTCAACATTTAGATGATTTACTGATAAGGTCACCCCTACCCCTAGTTGAAGCTCGTGCCTTTGCCCCCTTAACCTTGGACTTTGACCCAGCTTTGCCCCTCCAATCACCGACGGCTGGCGCCGCCACTGGAGGTATAGTCAACATTTAGATGATTTACTGATAAGGCCATACAAAAAAAAAATATTTTGGTTCTTAGACAATGCTTACCAAAATGTGATGCGGGAGGGTTTTTTTTCGCTTTAATTTTGTCCAAGGATCCCTACTGGGCTAAATGACCTTCATAACATCACATTTCATGGCAATATATCATCATGTCATTTATAGACAGGTATGATTATCAAATATTATGTATGTACCTGCGGTAAACTAAAACGGGTCACGTGGCACTTTTAAAGTTATGCATGAAAATCTGAGAACCAGCATGTTTGGCCGAATGCGCTATTTTTACTGCAATGGCTGATAAAGAATTCTATGAAATATTTCACTATTTCTGTTAAACATGACAGCATTTTCTCTGAACTATGAGAATAAATCATTTGAATCAGTTAACAAAGCATACTCAATTTTCAGATCCAATATCTGACCGTTTTAAATAAAAAAACAAACTACCGGGTATTATAGACATAAAATCTATACAGTTAGTTGAGATTCAAATCACAGAAACCCAAATCAAAATATTTTAAGGATGAAGCCATTTCATTGGTTGAGATTTTAAATTCTAGTAGATATTCTAGCTCTTTGCCAATAAAAGGTCTGAATTCTTAAAATGTTTTAGCTTTAAGTTTTTGTGAATAACGCTGCAGTTTATATCAATAATAATTAATTTAAAAACAAGATTCATATCCTTAACACCTAACAATCGCAAGTCTGCTAAAAATACAAGTCTAATTTAGATCAATTAAATGTGACTCCAAGTCATAGACTACTACATATGCTTCAAAAAGTCCCAACATTTATCAGAGATAAGCTAGTCTACATAATCTGCAGAAACTTACATCGAGTTGACTATCAGTAGCAGTAGTAGTATAGATAGTTCTGCCAATCACATCATTCTCTACTGTATTTGCAGAATAGGGTGTCCTAATAAACACAGGCGCTTGTGTATTCCTTATAACATTTACAATAACGCTGGCTGAAGCTGTTTTACTAATCTGGTTAACTCTTACATCCTCAGCTACCACATTAAACTAGAAAATATATTTTACATGTTAAGGCAGGGCAAAAATCAAGAGAGAGCTAGTTGAGAGATAAAATAGTGGTTAAAATGACAAAAGAGCTAGTTGAGAGATAAAACAGTGGATAAAAATCAAGAGACAGCTAGTTGAGAGATAAAATAGTGAATGAATAACAAGAAGGAGCTATAATGGATCTGTCAAATCTGACATCCTATGGCATCATTACAATACATCAGATTACGCAGTGTTGGCATCCTCAGTTTATACAATGTTGATTCAATGGAAATTGTGTGTCGGGACTGCTGATTGATGTCGGAATTCGGAATATTCAGAATACAGATTACTCAAAGCTTTTTTGGCTAAAGTAATAAGGAAATAAATCGGGACATGAAAATGATGTCGAATTTCACAGAATGTCGTAGTATTCAGATGTCGGATGTGACAGTGATAAAATAGAGGACAAAGAGTGAGATAGAATATAAATAACAAATTAAGAGCAAATATGGGGAGAGAGAGAAATGGGGTTTAACGTCCACTCGACACAAACTAGGTCATTTCGGAACTAACATATGGGTTAATTTTATTTACATAATTCGCTTGTGCGTAGGGGTCTTTAGCAGTGGGAGGAAACCGGAGGACCCGGAGAAAACCCACGAGTTTGGACAGGCGACCCTACTCCTTGCCACGTACAACCGGGGATTCGAAACCACGCCAGTCGACTCAATGACAGACTTTATGATACAGCGCGCGCACGCTAACCATTCAGCCATCCAACCCCCCAAGAGCAAATATTCTTTATAAAACTTAATTAGATGATAAAAAACCCTCTGGTAATGTAATGGGGTTTAACATTCTATTTTTCTACACCAAACGGGCAGAAGGGAAATTTTAATCTGAGAGTGGTTCTACCACCTACTCTCATTTTGAATACCAACTACCAATGAAAATTTACAGGCACCACCAAGTTATACTAGACCTTGGTTATTCATTCCAACCAATTGACTAGACGCTATTCCATGCAGGGCCCTTCATCCTGCACCAATAATAAGGGGAAACCATGCTAGAAAATTCTGAGTAAATATCTCAACTAAAACCCGGGACCTCCTGTTTAGCTTGTGTGAGCCAGTGCCATACTAACCAAAACATTGTGGTACACAGATCATTAGTCAATGACAGAGAGACAGAAATGGTGTTTAACATCCACTTGACACAATCTAGGCTATTTCAGAACTAACATATGGTTCAATTTTATTGCAATAATTTGCTTGCACATA